GTCATGTCATTTTGACATTTGCAATTAATAATTTGGCACATGTAAACAATTGAATAAAATTTTCATAATTTTATGCGGATAAAGTCGCACGGGAACAGCTAGTTTAGAATAGAAGTATTTAATCTCATACCATAATATAACTACAAATTTTTGAACAAGATAATCTAACTACCCACATTATCCGCACTACAAACAACACGTCGTGTAACTTAGACCTAACAAGGCACTGTTAGCTTATCCATAATTACCGGGGGCCCAAACAAACACATGTTTATTTATAGTCTGTGAGGCAGAAACAAAGAGACGCGGCTTAACAAGCAGTTAGTATCGAACGCGTGTTATGGCTATAGATAGATATTTATACCGTTTCTATGCATTATGTTAACGGGATTGGAATGATTAAAGATTAAAAATAAATATTTACTAGCTTTCGCCCGCGACTCCGTCCGTGTGGAATTTTAAAAAACAAAAGGGAGTAGCCTATGTGTTCTTCCAGACTATCCTTGTAAATCCATGGTACCGCTTACAAAATAACAAATATCCTTCTATCCATCTAAACTATTAATGTAAATAAGATGTACGATACAACTGTCTGTGGTATTTTACTACAAACTTAGTATGTTGAATGTTCTTTTATGATTTACGCTTAAAGTGATACAGTTCCTTAGAATATAATAATTTTTTTAGGTTATAATTTTGACTTTACGTTTAATAACGCTAAATAGAAAAATCATTGCGATTAAAATATTAAAGAAGGCAGCCTTATTAAACATTACTCAAAAATCTTTATTGTGAGAATAAGTTAGATTTTACTTTCGCTAAGACTGGGATTACAAAAATCAAGTCGACCCAACCGAGCTTTGTTACACAATTGTCTCGTATAATACCGGTTCGAATACCTTAAGTAATACACTCTGTTGCTACTCACGTAACTTACTGTGTCTATAGATTATTTCAAAACAGTCATCAAACATTTACGAATTCTGTTTCAAATAGAAATGGATTAAGTTTATGGTATGTTGTCAAAGAAATTATGTTCCTATTGGATTCCATCATCGAAATCCTGTTGGGGTTTTTATATGTTATGTTACTGGCAGGCAACACTTAACACAGAAAGGAAGATTTTAATATTGGAACAATGTATTTAAATGTTATAATTGATGTTTGAAGTAAGACTTCTCATCACGACACGTACCGTTGCCCGGTACGTGTCATATATAAAATATGAGACTGTATTAAATATAAAATATGACTATTTTATCCTGATAATATACCAGTTGAATATGTGAATAAAGTGTTTCAATAGACCTTCACCTCCAGAGTCCGGGACGGTGAAAAGTAACCGTCCAATAAATCCGTATTAGGAAATTTCAGAATAACCCCAGTGGTAGAGAAAGTAAGGAGTAAAAGGTTAGCATGGTATGGTCATATTATAAGGGGGGAAGAATCGCATATAACAAGGAGAACGTTTGTTATGATTGTGGTACACCGTTAGACCTAGAAAGAGATGGATTACGTGAAACGTGAGATGATCAAGAAGGGAGAGTACTGAGATGACTGTAAGTTATGTGGAGGGCAAAAACCTGTTGCCTCCCTACGGGAGTAGGATAACAAGGAAGATGATATTTAACAATTAGACACAAGATAAAAGGAGGAGATGTACACAAAATCTTTTAATTCAGAATTTGGTTTAAAAATCTAAACGCAACTAGGAGACCGTAAAACTAAAGTAACATGACGTAGTATGTTTTTGTAACTGAATTAATATTGTTACGAGGAACTTGTCTTTTAATTAAATAAATACAGACTCACAAGTTACAATAATACATTTGTAAATCTGCGTAACAATTTATACATGTTCTTTATTACCCATAGTCTATGCAAAAGGCGTAACTTATAATAATTTATTGTTAGTGTCAATTAGACTGTTTGTTGTGCCGTAATGCGGATTACATTTGTTTTATAGTAATTGCTAGAGAAAATATGGTAATGGTTGTATAAAGATATTCTAGTCTATGGTAATTAAATGTAATGAAGTAACTCAATAAATAATGTGCCGATTTCAAAAACTCTTTCACCTTTTAAAAGATGACAACGTGGTCAGTAACATAGGGAACGTTTTATATTATTTTTTTTAGTTTCACTCGGACGGAGTCGCGGGCGAATCTAGTATTTAAAAAAAGTTTTAAGTGAGTATAAACATGAAGATTCAGAATACTGCGATAAAGAAATATCTAAAATTTAATCATATTTAATGGTTACTTAAGGGAATAAATAAAAACAGATGTTGCAGAAATATGTTGAAATTAATCAGAAAAGATATTATTATCATCTGGCCAGTGTCAAGTGAGGTTCTATAAAGACAATTGACATATCATACCAATTTGTACCACCTAATAGTGATTATTATAAACAGCGAAATCACTTAACAAACTTTAACTTAAATACAGCATTTAACTACAAACGGTCACGTATCTATTTAAGTAAAAAACCAACAAAGCGGCGGCATTTCTGGGAAAAAGTTTCTCAATGTTGTGTTATTTAGTTAATTCCGACAATAATTACTACAATGGTCGTGAACAGCAACAAAAAATGAAACGGTCTGAATTGCGATCCTGTAAGTGAACAAGGAACGATTTAAGTAGCTTGTAATTGTCTTAACAATTAATAGGGGCAAATTAGGGTAGGCAAGATGGCGCCGTGTGTGGCATCCATCGGTTACGGTCGTGCGCTAAGGCTAAGATGCGGATTTACGTGCGCGCATATTGAAGGCTTATTTTCAATTTAATAATTAATATTAAATACTTTGAATTTGAAAATATTAAAGTGGGTTAAATTGGCAGAGACATTTTTAAATTAACTCTTAAACTAAGTCTCACTAGAACGATTAACGAGGACAAAAGGCATTCACATGAACCTTCCAAGTTTGTATTGCCTCTAATTTATCTACTGAATATTGATACCGCGTTAAACATTACAATTGTTTTTTAATAAGTAATAATACTTCACAGCCAGCAATGTATATCGCCTTGGGACAGATACAATAAAGGTTTCTGAATCACCTTCATATCCTGCGACATTTATGATTGATGGTCCCTTATGCATTCCGATATGCACACAATTTCTTTCGTTGAAAAAACAACTTTATTCCAATGAAGTTAAAGTTTAACAGAGCATTTTATTTTTGTCGCACAGTATGGGGTTTCGTTATATATTTCTTTAGTTTTTGAATCCGATATGTCTCGATACAGATAAGATAACTTTGTGAATGTTCCGACATTATAAATAACTGCTTACTGCTTAACTCGGGTTATGTTAGTCATTAAGAAACAAGAACCACATGTGACGTATTTTATTGGGGTATTTGCTTGGACATGGTAAGAAAATAAAAAAAAAGCCCCATATAGACGTAAGGTACACCTGAATCTATATATTTTTATCACAAAGACTATGATGGTAATGTTTATCTTAATTGTATGGGTAGTCTTAAAATACTTTTTAGGTTAGTTTCTTATTGGATACTTACTGTTGCTCGCAACTTCGTCCACGTGAAACGAAAATGTATAACCTAAAAAATATAGCCTATGTTGTTCTCAATGACGCTTTTTTTATAGTGAAAGAATTTTTGAAATCGGCCCCGTAGTTTTTAGTTATTACAATACATAAATAAAATTATTTTTACACAACTTATTTCTTTTTACGACTTCTTTATACAACTTATACGTCAAATAATTCGCCAGATGTTTTAAGATTTTTTACGATCATGACATTAAAAGCACTTTTTTTAGCATAACTGCAACTGGTTTTTCAGCAACAATGTTGCGTTTGTATAATATTTCTCCCACAATAAAATGCCTAACAAACGTTCCAGAAATCCCCGGCAAGATTCTTCAAGATCCATGAGATTCATAAAAAAAATATTATAAAATAGTTAACCAACATAGTTTTACTAATTGTTTTATTGTTACGTATTTGCGACAATGATTACCTTTTATTTTTTTAAGTATCGCGCCAAATTACACCTACATAAATAGCCGCCATGATTGAAGTGCCGAGAACAGAGTAAAAAGCACAACCGTCAATTAGCGAGTTGCTTTTTAAATTAACTTGAAGCTATTTACAATATCTAATTACAAATGTGTCTTGACGCATGAAATATTCGTAACAAACCTAAATAAACTTACGAAATGAAACATGCCGGCCGGCGCCATAAACTGCAGCTTTCAAACGTATAATTAAGTCGCCACGGCCGCTATTTATTGACAAGAAACGAACGAGTTACTAAAAGAGACATACAAATATAAATATTTCTTCAAAAAAGTTATGAATCTAGTGATGCCACACTCTTCAAGTCATTTAAATTGTTTAAGGTACAGGTCACAGAAGAATGAAAATGTACAAATACAAAAAAAACCCTCCCATATAAATCAGTCGGGCATACACGGCATGATGGGCGTCACCAGGTAAGGGTAGTGACAGCTTCTCCTACCCCTCTAGAGAGAAACGGCAAATAGATATAAAGCTCTAGCGACATCGATGTTCTAATTTGATATATTTTCTAAATTTCTATAATATTAAATTGTATTTCATGTCTCTTCCAGTCATAACTTTATTGAAAGTTAAATTCACGAGTTCAGTCGCCATATGATTGTACAGATTATTGCAACTCGGTTTGTATTACACCCAGTACCGGCGTTAGGGCAGGGCGAGGTGGTCGACCGCCCAGGGCGCCGGACTCAAAAGGCCGTCACAGGGGCCTAAAAGGGCGAAACTGGTGTCTTTTTACATATGGGTTTATATTGCAGTTATTATGTGATGTAGAAAACTAGCCCAGGGCGCCAATAATACTAGTATGAAAAGTTTTTAATATTTCATTCTTGACATTGATTTGACCAGTCAGTTAAGTGCCGATGTTTTAACCTTATTAATTAATGATTAACAACGAAAAGCAATTCTAACATAATTGTAAAAAAAATCAGTATCAAATAAAACCATTTTAACAAGAAACACATATATTTGTACACATTTCCAGTCTTAAATACCTAAACTAATCTTACAACTTAATAGGAATTTATTACAAACATGACAATTCATCAAAAAATTCTATTCCAACAAAAAAGTCAATTTATATTGCTTCTGTGACTATTGATTAGAATTAGCAGTAAGTGGAAACAGACTTATATATCCTAACTAAGTATTTGTATATATTTTATAAAGGAAACCATCTCTGTGCACCATCTAGTCTTATGACTTCACCATTCAGCATTGGATTCTCTACTATACTAGTAACTAAATGTGCAAACTCCTCCGGTTTACCGAGTCTTGATGGAAACGGCGTCATACGTTTTATGAAGTCAATCATTTTTTCAGGTAGATATTGTACTAGTGGAGTATCAAATATACCTGAAATAAAAATTACAAATACTATGCTCCGAGACAAAAAAATGTATCAACATTTTCCCACAACATTGTCTGTGTAAAAACTTATTAAGAAGACTATGTTTCTCATTTATAATACTAGCTTTTGCCCATGACTCTGTCCACACAGAGTAAAATAAAATATTAATAATTAGCCTATGAGTTGTTCCAGACTATGTTCTATATGTCCCTAATTTCATTAAGTTCCATAATGAAGTTATTGTTTATTTAGTTATTGAACATTATGAAGTTATATCCATCAGCCATCTAATGTTTCTCATTTGTAATAACAATTTGTTCTTCTCTTCCCTTCATTTTTTTTTGACTTTCCAATTCTTGATTTAATTCCAAAAATGTAAGTTTAAAGAAAAACTTTAAATATATCATTGTATAACTGACACTTTTTCACTTTTTACATAATTGTCTAATATAGTCATGTTGTGTACACCTACTTTGGTTTAAAACCTAGTCTTATTAATTCGTTATTCTCATTTGTAATTATGTATTAGTTTAAAGCTGTTTGGTACACCTAATAAAATAAATAAAACCAACTTTTGCCTGCAACTCCTACACAGTATATAAAAAAACTAAGTAAGTAGCCTGTGTCCTTCCAGATTATGTTATACATCTGTACCAAATTATATTGAGATCTGTTGAATCATTCTGTAGATATGTTCTAACATCCATCCACCTGAATTATTACATTTATAACATTAGTAAGATTTGTAATAGTATAAATACCTGGTGCAATAGTTACTACTCTGATGCCTTGTGCCGCAAGATCCCTGGCTATTGGTAAAGTCATTCCTATCACAGCGGCTGTTGATGCTGCAAATGCTGCCTGACCGATATCACCCTCATATGCTATTGTTGATGCTGTGTTCACAATCACACCTCTCTGTCCATTCTCATTAGGTTCATTTTTCCCTAACAGGCCTGCTGATAATCTTATTGTATTAAATGTGCCTATTGTGTTAATCTGAAATGTTTGTTTTTAATTTAATAGTTAGAATAATTATGTAAAACATTGGTGATAAGGTTTGAGATGAAGTAATGGGTATAAAGGTACAAATCGATAGCTCCTACATAGACTATTATAAGCGCCTGTCCCACCACAGGCTGATAGAGGCTCAGGTTGCTTTAAAATGATGTCACTGTCAGATGAGGTAACAAAATCCGATATTTTCATCATATTTTACATGTTGGATTGTTATCAGACAATTTACAATTTGGTGGGACAGGACAGTCCTGTATTTATTTCCTTTATTTTTTTAATTAACTTGATAAATACTTATTTCTGTGTAGATTTTAAAGGCAGTTTTTGATTGTCTTTTGTTGTATTACAATTAATTAAAATAAATATTAACATTTTGTCTTGCAAAATTTTCATTTCAAACATATGTTATATTGCAGCTATTAAAATAAGCTTTTATAAATTAATAATTCTAGAAACACCTGTCAACAATTTTTTTACTTACATTTATACATTTGATAAAATGGCTTGAACTACATTCCTTGTCTTTAAAGAAATTATACACTTGGTGTGTTTGTGCATATCCTGCACAGTTGACAAGTGTGTCAAGCCTTCCAAACTTTGATTTTGTCAATTCCAAAGCCTTCTTTACATCATCTTCTGACGACACCTAGAATTATATTTGATGTGATTAAGACAGGTCTGTCCCATAAACAAGAACCAATTACTATTTGCCCAACATTATTATGAGTTAAGTTTCGTTTATTTATCTAAAGTATTACATAAAAGACCTTGGCATGAATTAAAACTTTTACTTATTTAATCAAAACAAAACTTTATCTTACACAACCGACTGAAACAGCAACATTTTCACCAAATCCCTTCGCAACTTCCTGAGCTCTTGTCCCTTGAATATCCAATATAACAACTCTTCCTTCATTTTTAACAAGTCTTTCTACAGTGGCTTTACCTAATCCTGAAGCGCCGCCAGTAACCAAGCTCACCATACCCTGTGAAAGAGGTTATGCTACATTTTCTAAGATATTGATAACAATTCACTTCACAACCGAATAGTTATTGTCAAACCTTGAACATTATGTTAAATAGCAAAGGTTTTCTGTGAAAATTTGTGTCAAAATTAATATTTTAAACAATAAATAAGTTTAAATTACAAAATCGCCGATCGCTAACTTTATTATTGACATTTGACATTGCCTTGATGACAATTTGATTCAATATGTCAGGCAAAATGTCACCGTTAAAAATCTTGTGCGATTGGTTTTTTGAATTTACAACATTTTCATTTGGTATATTTTGGACTTCGCTTTCATTAGTTTGTGTGTAGTTTGTTCTCGGAGCTTAATTTAATAGATTTAGTTCAGTTTATAGATGAAATATTGTGAATCGATCATTCATGAAGTTTTCTTTGGTACGGGGTAATACGACGGACGTCCCTACTCCTGTCGGCCATTGAAAATTGAAAATTCAGAAAATGGAAATTTTCTTTCGGTGCGACATGTTTTTTTATGAATTTATAACGTTTACCTAGTTTAATCGTGATGAAATATGTAACAAATGTTTTAAAGTAAATGGCCGTATTTATCAATAAAGTTTATATATCTGAACAGGCCATACATTGAGAAAGACGCTTTCCCGGCGGAAACTATCATTGAGATAATTTTACTATTGTATTAAAAGTATCATTATGGCTAAAGTAGAGCAGCCTATATTTATTTTGCCGAAAAAACGAAACGGCAAAAAGCAGAATGCCGTTGCTGGTCATGTTGATCATATAATAACTGTCCAGGTATTTACGCTTTTTAATTTTGTTTAGAAGTTTTGCTATTGAATTTATTCTTTCGAATGTTATTTATTTTAAATGTTAAATCGAGAATTTTTCTCTTTACAGAGACCAAATGTTACATATTAAGTATTATTTATTTTACTCATTCTATTATCTTAATCATTAAAATTTAAAATAATGTGAATTAAATTCATTCTTTACTTTTATTATTATTATTTACAGGGAGCAGCGGATACAGAATTGCCAACCAAATATATAAATGGCTTGTCACCAGTAAATGAACATGTCAATGGCATCATACATTCAACCATGGATGGCCTAAAGTCTAATATGAAAATTAATCTCCCGATTATCAATGATGTAAATGACGAAGACTTGATTGATACAAATATCCTTGTTGATGCACAACATAAATTGCAAAAAAATGGTTACCAAGCCCTTTCTACTATACACAACAGTCGTGAAATAATAGATTTATCTCCAATTTATGAGAATTCTTCCGATGCCTGTTCCAGCCTTGGTGACTTGAGAGAGACCATGGATATAGACACCCAAAGAGGTTGCAGAATACTAAACTCTGACAATAATGAAAGCTCTTGTGCAACTCCCAATAGTTTGTCGCAAACTCAATCTGAGAACAGCTTTGAAATGGGACCCCTCACTGATAGTCTTAAGAATAGTGCAAAAAGGAAAAAGCGTGTTAATATTGTACCGGGAGTTATCGATTCTGAAAATCCGGATACTGAAATAACCACTCTAAGAGTTGAATCAGAAGGTTCGATTTCACCTTCATCATTAACTGACAACTCCAAAGATGGGTACTTAACAATGACTGGAACAATCAAGCGAGGAAAAAAGAAAGGACAAAATGTGGATGTGAAATTGAATATATCAAGAGAGGAACTGGAGATAATTGAAGCTGCTATTGTGGCTGAAGAATACAATAAAATGGATGTCTCAAAATGCTCACTATATAATGGGCCTCATATATTTATCTTCAGTCTTTTATGCATTCCATTTGTGGCTTGTATATCTGCGGCTTATTCATTTTATATTGGTACTTTAGCCTGGTACAATATATTCACTCATGTTACGGAGAGATTTAGTTGGATTAAAAAGGCGTTTTTTGCACCTATTGTGATTCTGTCTTATCCATTTTTGATAGTATTGTTTACTATCGGTGTAGGACTGTACGCTGGTATTGTACAGCTTACGTTCAGTGGAGCGAATTGGTGGAAAGATGTATGTGATTTTGAGAAAGGCTTTTACGGTTGGCTCTGCAACTTTTTAGGTATGTCTGAATGCAGTCCTTATGAAGTTGTTGTTTTGATGGATGTGAAACCATCTTAAAACTTTTGTGCATTTAGGCAATTTGCCAATATCACTGCCATATTGCCAAGTTGTTTTACACATATAAGACATGATCATATCTTTTAAGCATTCTTTCGATATATCAAATTAGTCATATCTAGTCAACATATGTTTTTTATATTACTTTTATATTTGTAATTTTTATAAAAGTTTAAAGGTATAGATGTATTGGTGATAAAATGAAATGAAGGGGAACAATTGGAGAATGTCAAAAATGGTAGAAAATTCATTTTCCTTTCCCAGCCTTTTCTTATAAATAATTGATGGGAAGGGGAATTGATTTTGGCAGTGGTGGGGATGCATAGGAAGGGGAAATAACTTCATTTTGTCGGACTTCTGTGTTGATGTAAAATAGGCAATGCAATTGCAGGTGTCTGGGCAGCGGTCTTTCGCTATTTTGCCGAATTTGTCGCCTGCTCAATTAACACATATAAAAAAAAGAGTATTTAAGTTAACATCAGAATGGTGTGAATATTACGTTGCTCAATTTCTTCCATTTTTACTTTTATAATCAGAAAGAATTTTGATAATTATTTTCTAGTCATAAGTTTATTGTTAAGAAATTAATTTATAATATCTCTACAGTTTGTATGGAATGTTTATAGTATATAAATGATTATTTTGAACAGATTATGTATTACCAAAAAATGTTACTAAAAGAAATTGACGCACAAACTGCAGTCATTGTAATTTTATCCCATACAATTTTTTAAATGCAATATGAAGTGTTAATGTATTTACAGTTTGAGAAATTTTCACTTTTATCTCAAATATTTTACCATAGTTAACTGCTTTTAATTGTATCGATGCAAATAGTTCTATTATAAAATAAATTTTGATATATTATAGTCACAAATGTTTAAAAAAAGGAAATTAATGAATGAATCAGTTGACATTTTAATAAACAATGTTAGCATACATAGCAATAAACTATACCAATAAATGTTCAAATATGTGCTTAGCAAAACATACTTATATTGCTTAGCTTTTAGCTTGTAAAGTCAACTGTATGACATATTAAAGGTTCTAAATGTAATTTTATAACATAATCAACATTTTTATTAATAAGACTGATGTATTCTAGTCACTATTGTGTCCATTTTCTACATAATAAAGTATTTTACAAAACTTTCACTTTCACTAAACATATCTACAACATATACATTTGTATAACTGCACTAAATAAAATTAGAATGTCTCATGGTGCATCCTTTGGTTGACTCGAATCCGCTTGTGAATCTTTTGGCTTCAGTTCAACGTCCAATCTCTCTTTTGCTCTAACAATTTTCGATTGTAAGTAAAATGAACCACCTTTAGCTTTGTCGTTGACGTTGAATAAATGTTCGTAATTTTTCTTGACTTTATCAGGGTCTAATTTGTCTAAATTTAAAATTTGCATAGCCTCTTCCAGTGTAAGGCCTGTAGAAGCATTGGCAGCAGCTCTTCTTGCACCTTCTGGTCCACCACCAGCTCGTTTAGCGGCTTCCTGTGAAGCAGCTATTTCTTGCTTAAGAGCCCTAGCAAACGCTCTCCCAACAACCTGAGCACCCAAAACTATAATTTGAGCAATGTATTTAGCCATTGTCTATTTTCCAATTTGAAAAAGAAGGTATCTTGTATCATTACGAAAAGCAAAGATATGTCAAATAAAAATTGTCAAATGCATGATTTAGGTTAAAACACGTTCAAATTGAATTTGCTTTTCGAAGAATAAACACAATAAAACGTTATAAAAATTAATTGATTAGCTTTACTTTAAGTACTTCAAATTCTCCAAGTAATCAAAAAACAGTTGTAAGTAAACTAAAAAAAAAAGAAAATATTTTCGTATTATTTGGAATTTATATACTGTGGTAGTGCATAAAATCATAAAATTCGCGCGGTTTTTGACAGCAACAAAAACAACCTGCCTGTTGCTTGATTTCGTGTATTTCTGTTTTTAACGCTTTTTCAATCAGAGTTACATAATTTCTATTATTCTTTAACCATTAATACATTATTCAAAAACCATGGTTAGTGATTATCTTTCATACATTTCAATGAAATAGTGACAATCGTAAACTTGTGTTAGATTGAGAGTTTATAAGTTCAACGATACATTTCTATGTTTTAGAGTTCACCAATTCCTGATACTCCGTCTGATAGAGATGGGGCTCGGTCAAGAATGACATCACCGGCACGGGAATATGAAATGTTCGAAGATGAAAGTGCAATCCTCGGCGACAATGCCGTCGAAGAAGAAGACGATGGAGAGGAGCTTTTTAACGATAATATGGAAGCGTACGTTTATTAATCATAATAACAAAACCGTTAAATTTAAATCAGACGTATTTTAATAATATGCAGATATAAATGAGTAAACAGATGATAATTCTTCAATTTCTATTTTTTATTATAGGGATTATCGTCCTATGCCAGCTTTAGACCGTTATGACAATGAGGGCTTGGATGATGATGACTACGACCCAATGTCTGTTGAGGCTCGTGTGGCTGCTGAACAGGAGCTGCGGAGAAGGGATAGAGATGAAGGCAGAATCAGACGGGATGATCAAGGACTGTTTTATGGTTTGTAATATATTTGTATGTACAGAGCTGTCTTCTCATCCTTATTAAAGCTTTATATAAGAACATTAAAACTACAATACAAATTTAATTCAAATATCCAAATGTGAGGTTCTGGTACCATAAATTTAATATTTCCAGATGAATCTGATGATGAAAGTACAGACGTTCCTCGTAGTAAGCGTCGTCGCGATGCCGAAAGGGCAGCAACCGGAGACAAGGAGCAAACAGAAGAAGGCATTGAAAGTATTGAGAATCTCGAGGATACAAAGGGATATACAACTAAAGAATGGGTCTCTATGTTGGGACCTAGAACAGAAATAGCTAATAGGTAATAGATATAAGAAACATATGTAATCTATATGTATAACAAAATTGTATTGTTTGTATATAAAAATGATAAAAGTGATATATTTCGTTAACCTGATAATGATAAACTGATTTTTTAGAGTTTTGTCCGACTGCAAGGCCTGTTTGATCTCTGTGTACTTTTTATTTGTCAGACAGCTATTTAATAATAATGTAATTGTTACCATTGCACCATTTATTGGGGTACTGTCTCATAATAATCATAATTTCAATTATTTACAGGTTTAAAAACTTTCTCCGAACCTACGCGAATAACAAAGGACAATTCGTTTACAAGGATCGTATACGACGTATGTGCGAACACAATCAAGCGTCATTTCACGTTGAATTCGATGTTCTTGCACGGAAAGAACAAGTGCTTGCCTTCTTCTTACCAGACGCACCGTTCCAAATGCTTCAAATCTTCGATGAAGTAGCCAAAGAGATTGTTTTACAAATATTCCCGAGTTACGAACGTGTGACGTCAGAGATCCACGTCCGTATATCTGATCTGCCGCTTATAGAAGAGTTGAGAACATTCCGGAAGCTTCATTTGAATCAGTTAGTGAGAACTGTAGGTGTGATTACCGCAACAACTGGTGTTCTACCTCAGTTATCTGTTGTGAAATATGATTGTAATAGATGTGGTTATATACTTGGGCCGTTCGTACAATCGCAGAACTCGGAAGTGAAGCCGGGATCTTGTCCGGAGTGTCAAAGCGCTGGGCCTTTTATGGTAAGAAACAGTTTTACAATGTATTAGCTTGATAGCTTGACTCGATCAACCTATTGGCCCATAAAAGTTGCAGTCTATAGGGCATTATTATATACTAGCTGGTCCAAACCAACGTCATCAACATGATATTTGCAACATGAAAAACTTTATTTCATTGTATATCTTTCTTTTACCGTTAGTTAACAATTACCGTTACACATTAAGCATAACAGTGGTAGAGCACACTTTAACATCTTCGCAATGCAATACCTCGACCACACAGAAGACAGGCGTAAATTGAGAGCAATTCCGAGTTTCATCTGGTGAACGTGGTGCCGGAGGCCTAACTTTAGTCCCTTTTTCTTATAGAAAAAAGACTGGGAACGGAACGTGGATTTAACGGTGGAGGAGACGCATAACAAGGAAATGTCTTGTTTATGTGCGTCTCCTCCGTCGATTAAGGGTAGGCAACGCATCCGCTATTGTGAATGTCTATTGGCTGCGGTTGCTTCGGTTGCCGCTCTCTCGTTTGCCAACTTATACAAAAAAACATAAGATTTTTCTATATATTCCAGGTGAATATGGAGCAAACAGTATACCGTAACTACCAGAAGGTGACAATCCAGGAGTCTCCGGGCCGCATCCCGGCAGGCCGTATACCTCGCAGCAAGGATTGTATACTTTTAGCTGATCTCTGTGACAGATGTAAACCTGGTGATGAAGTGGATTTGACTGGAATATATACTAACAATTATGATGGATCACTTAATACTGAACAGGTATATCTATATTTTTTATAGTAATACAGTAGAATCTCGATAACTCAAACCTCGGTAACATAAAAACCTCTATAACTTCAAAGAATAATATGTTCCCTTCCCATCAGAGCCCGAAACCTCTATAACATAGACCCTTGATAACTTAAATCCTCTATAACTTATCAAGGTTCTAATGTATTATAAAGAGAAAAAATTGATGTTTTTGTACATATTAATATAACTCAAAAACTACTGGGATATTAAAAAAAAATTCTCCATTATAAAACTACTTTATTGCTGAGTAACTTGTGTTTTGTATTATTTTTCAATTTTACGTGGACAAAATCGCTAGCAATGGCTAGTATTATATATTTATACTATTTAAGGTATTTTTTATATTTATATGAAAGGGGGAATGTTTTGTTTTAATTTGTTAATCATAGAAAATATTAATGGGGGATATAAAAATTATGTAACTCTTAACTTTGTATGCATGGTATTAAAAAAAATCCAGTAATGAATATTGCCAATAGCATTCGGTGAAAGAATTTTGACAGCACTTTTCAAATGTATCTGCCACATACAAAAATACACATCTTTCCTATTTATATATATATATAGTATTAGAATCATACTATGACAAATGTAAAGTAAACAAAATAGCTCCATTACGAAAAGAACCAAAAATAATTGGATTTTCACTACTAATTTTAAAAGAAAGCTTTTCAATGGTGCCAGAATTTTTAAATCAGCCCAATTTATTTTTTAAATTCTAATACATGCAAAAATACAAATCTTTCCTCTTTATAATATTAGTATTTCCTATCTCCAGGGATTCCCAGTATTTGCAACAGTAATTATAGCTAATTACATAGTAGTTAAAGACTGTAAGCATATCGTGGAATCTCTAACAGACGAGGATGTTGCCAGTATTATAAAGTTGTCCAAAGAGGCTAACATCGGAGAGAGAATTGTACAGAGTATGGCACCTTCTATATATGGACATGATTTTATTAAAAGAGGTCTAGCGTTAGCTTTGTTTGGTGGAGAACCTAAAAATCCAGGTATGTTATACAAAATTACCTGTACTATTAAATAATAATAAAAAAAATAATTAAAACATGCATCAAAATGTGGAGAACAAGGTTTTATGTTTATTAACTTATTAAAACTTTCGTGAGACATTATACTATATAAATTATAACACGGCTAAACTCACGTGATAACATTCGGTGTAGGCACCGACAGTTTCGAACCCGTTGGGGGTCCTTCTTCAGGGTGAGTGATTAATCACTCACCCTGTGATTACGACCCCCAACGGGTTCGAAACTGTCGGTGCCTACACCGAATGTTATCATGTGAGTTTAGCCGTGTTATAATTTATATATTTATAAGGTTTTATGTGTTTAAACTGTCATCAGGTTTTCATAAACTTAAATTTTGTTGCAGTAATTGTTTTTTTCTTTTCAATATTTGACTACGTAAAATTTTTTTTTTTACATGATCCTTACGAATAAAAATCATAAAGTGTGATGAGACATTTTGAATTACCTTCAAACAGGTTTTAATTTCCCTCGATTGTGTTGTTTTTTTTTTTAGTTTTTTTACAATTTTCTTGAATATATTTTCAGGTGAAAAGCATAAAGTTCGAGGAGACATCAATGTTCTTATTTGTGGCGACCCCGGTACCGCCAAGTCACAGTTCCTTAAATATACTGAAAAGGTAAGCTTTTAATGTGACCATGTTTTATTGGAACCACTGTAATAAATATTACTGCAACAAACTTAATAATTTACGTATCTACGGTCTCTATTTCTACTTACTATTATTATCTTATTAACTAGCTATTCCCGTGCGACTTGATCCGCATAAAATTGTGAATATTTTATTTTATTGTTTACATGTGTCAAATTATCAATTGCAAATGTCAAAATGACATGACATGATGACAAAGCATGGCAACCTTGCTTCCTTGATGTTGGCAGCAACTTATGGTCTCTTTCCCACATCTAGGGTTTTTATCCAAAATATTTACATCTAAGTTTAATGGCATGAAAATATAAAGCCTAAAGCGTGACGTAAGTGTAGGGCTTTTTTTGAAAAAAGAGTTATTCAAAAATATGCTGTAATTGCTGACATCTTAGGCAACAGAGAAGTGTGTATTTACGCTTTATTATAATAGTATAGATTACTATACATGCAAAAATTTGGATGGATGGACGTTTGTTAGAGTTTGTAACCTAAACTGTTGTACAGATCTCAATGACATTTACCATATATGTAGAGGATAGTCTGAAAGAAAACATACTTTTTGTTTTTTTTTTTAATTATTTCGGCACGGATGGAATCTCAGGCGAAATCCAGTTGTTAATTTTGATGTATTTTTCATAATACTCCTTTCAGATCGCACCCCGTGCCATATTTACAACTGGTCAAGGAGCGAGCGCGGTCGGTCTCACTGCTTATGTAAGAAAGAATCCAACAACAAGGTAAATATCGATAAAGAGAACAAAAAAAAAAAAAACAATTGTCAATGCTACAAAATTTTTATAATCGACATTTTAAAAAAAGTCAATATTTCAAAATTCATCTATATTCGTTCACCTATTATGGAGAATCCTAACACATCCATCCAAACAGCTGAATGGCTTCAATAAAAATAGCCGTATCACGCTCTACAAGGATCGATCTATTATTAGGGACAGGACTATTGCTGCCAATAGGCCTGATATAGTAATAATAGATCGGTCTGAGAGTTGTGTAATGTTAGTCGATATTCGATATTCGATATCACTATCCCACATGACTAGAACCTCGTTAAAGTCGAAAATGAAAAACTATTAAAATATTTGGATTTGGCTCACGAGGTTACCGCCAAGTGGCGTATGAAATCGATAACCATTATTCCGATAGTCGTTTCGGTACACGGGCTAATAGCGAAGAGCTTCGACCAAAACCTCAAGAAGCTCTCGCTAGACAGTTGGATTAAGGGCCCAATACAAAAAGCGGTTATTTTAGAAACTGCACGCATTGTGAGGAGGTTCCTGTCTCTGCAGCTCTGACCACTGGTTGCTTGAGTCATCGGATTCCGCAGCCGGTGGACTTCTATTTTTTTATATAATATGTTTTATTTTTTTTTAATCAAAATCAAGTAAATCATATATATAAAAATAAGACATTAAAAATATGAGAATGTAAAATAATAATAATAATGAAATTATACATGTATAGAGAATGGACATTGGAAGCTGGTGCTTTAGTGCTGGCGGACCGCGGAGTGTGTCTCATAGACGAGTTCGACAAAATGAACGAACAGGACAGAACCTCCATACATGAAGCTATGGAGCAACAATCCATCTCCATATCCAAAGCAGGCATCGTTACATCACTACACGCCAGGTAAGAACTGTCTAAAGGCCGGTTTCCCAGCTTTAAATTTTACAGTCAAAATGGCGTAATGGGTGGTCCTTTGCGTTAACGAAGTTTGCGGGCGACAGCTCAGTATTAAATACTAGCGTTCCCGTGCGACTTCATCCGCGTGAAATTATATAGACTTTATTTCATTTGTGAAATGTCAAAGTCAAATTCATAAATGACAACCTTGGTTCCTTAATGTTGGCAGCTCGTAGTTCATGGTCTCTTTCCTACATAAGGGTTTTTATCCAATTTATTTACCCCCTAAGTTTAATAGCGTGAAAATATATAGCCTAAAGCGTGACGTAATTGTACTTTTCATGAAAAAAGGATTATTCAAAAATATGCTGTAATTGCTGACATCTTAAACAACAAAGAAGTGTGGGTTTACGCTTTATTATAATAGTATAGATAACTTAACTCACGTGAAACTTTCAGTATAGGCACCGATCAGTTTTGGTTGTTTTTTTTTTAATATTTTTTTAATATTAATAAATGTTTTTTTCAGATGCTCAATAATAGCAGCGGCGAACCCAATAGGAGGTCGCTACGACCCCTCGCTTACGTTCTCAGAGAACGTGAACCTGTCGGAGCCGATACTGTCGCGGTTCGACGTGCTGTGCGTGGTGCGGGACGAGGCCGACCCCATGCTGGACACACATCTCGCTAAGTATTACATTTATTACTTGCAAAAATACATTTAAACTTAAAAAAATACAGTAGGCATAGTTGACACTTCACTTGAAACATTTTTCAAGAAACAAAAAATCCAAACACTGAAGCGTCTCGGTATGTTAGATTTGACATTGAGATGTTACCGTACAAAGAAGTTACCGGTGAAAAAAATGTTCCCTATGTCTATATATTTCTTAATTTAAAATAAGGTAACAAGCTAAACTGGGTTTTAAGGTGACAAAAATGATACTTGCTTATCTTTATTGCAAAGGATAAGATGAAAAAATACTATTGTTATAAAAAAAAAAAAAATTTCATAACTCGGTTATCTGTATTCTGTAGGTTGATCGGTCCACCAGTTAATCGACCCTTTGGGTTTTTTGTCCCATTGTACCAATTGACTCTATACAATCTGACTTCTTACTAATATTATAAATGTGAAAGTTTAGATGGATGGATGCTTGTTTGTTTGTAACCTAAACGGCTGAAGGGATCTCGATTAAATTTGGCATAGATGTTGATAGTCTGGAAGAACACATAGGCTACCTTGATTTTTTTTATAACTAGCTTTCGCCCGCGACTCCGTTCGCGTGGAATTAAAAAAAAAAGTGAGTAGCGTATGTGTTCTTCCAGACTATCCTCTATATCTATACCAAATTTCATCGAGATCCGTTCAGCTGTTTAGGCTACAAACTCTAACAAACATCCATCCATCTAAACTTTCGAATTTATAATATTAGTACGATTGACTTTTCAAAAAATCTTTAATGTAGGCAGGTTAAATGAATAATTAAAAAAAAATGTCCGTAATTTCAGATTCGTAGTAAGTTCTCATATGCGACATCACCCGACAAAACGCGGAGCTACCTTAGAGGATAATATTACGGACGATATCGGCATACCGCAAGATTTACTGAAGAAATATATCGTATATTCGAAGGAAAATGTACATCCCAAGTTACAGGTAATGTCTTACTAGCTTTACCCGCGACTCTCCCTGTAGTATTAAACAAAAGTAAATAGACTATGTGGTCTAGACTATCCTCTACATCTATACCTAATTTCATCGAGATCCGTTCAGTCGTTTAGGCTACATTCCTAACAAACATCTATCTAAACTTTCGCATTTATAATATTAGCAAGATTATTATATGTAAGGGCTTTTTTGTTAGAGAATGTTAAAAATTATATTTTTCTTTATGTTTTTCTATGCATCTACATTGATAAAGGAAGCAAGTAAGTACTACTAATTATCCTTTAAATATGTTTTATATCCCTGGTCAATGAAACCGTAAATTAAAAAGTTTACAAGCTAAAGATATATGTTAGCTGTAGCTCGCGACTTCATTCGCGTGGGATAAAAGAAATAGTTAAAAGCTATGTTACTCACTGATAACATAGTTTTATAATAGTCAAAGATTTTTTTGAAATCGACTGAGTAGTTTTTATGTTATTTAAACACATACAAAAATACAAATATGTCCTCTTTATAATATTAGTATAGATATCTTCTTATTAGGATAGTTTGACTTTAACACTGCTTAATATCATAATTTGTGAGTCTAAGGGCCTGTCCCACCGTTGGCTGATAGAGGCTCAGATAGCTTAAAAAATGTAAAGGAGATGCATAGGAAGGGGAAATGTCCTCTTTATGCGTCTCCTCCTCCGTCGTATAAGGGTAGGCAACGCATCTGCAATTGCAGATGTCTTTGGGCAGGGGTCGCTTCGCCATTTTGGCGGATTCTAGTGGCCGCTTGCACGTTTGCCACCGTATGTAAAAAAAAAATTACGTCACTGACAGATATGGCAACAAAATCCGTCTCCATCACATATTTCGCATGTTGGATTGTGTAGACAATTTACAATTAGGTGGGACAGGCCCTAAGTTAAGTGTAAATTACAATGATTTTTCCAGAACATGGATCAAGATAAAGTGGCCAAGATGTACAGTGAGCTGCGACAGGAGTCCCTCGCAACTGGCAGCTTGCCCATCACTGTCAGACATATTGAGTCAGGTGAGACAACTATATTGTGATAATTACATTACACAATTACTCTTTAGCTGATAATTATACAGCAAATAAGAAATGGTCTATAAAAATAATCAAAAAAACAGATCATCGGTGACTCAAGGGTTAAGCACTCGACTTGTAATATACGGGTTTGAATCCAGCCAACTATCAATCATACTAATATTATAAATGCAAAAGTTTAGATGGATGGATGTTTGTTAAAGTTTGTAGCCTAAACTGCTTAACGGATCTCGATGAAATTTGACATATACGTGCAGGATAGTCTAGAACACAGTCTACTCACTTTTTTTTTTTTTTTACTTCCACGCGGACGGAGTCGCGGACGAAAGCTAGTAATGTTATAATTTTTGAATTAAAGTTGTACGTAGTTTAAAGCCTATACTGCTGAACGGAATTGAATGAAATTTGGTATATATAGTAGTCTCGAAGAACACAGGCTTACTTCTGATTTTTTTTATTAATTTTAATTTTTAATTTGTTTGTTTTCTTTACTTATAGTTATCCGTATGAGCGAAGCGCACGCACGTATGCATCTACGGGCTCAAGTAGACGAACAGGACGTCAACATGGCCATACGCACTATGCTTGAAAGTTTCGTCGATACGCAGAAATACAGCGTTATGCGACCTATGAGACAGGTAAGTTACACTTAGGGCCGGCATTAACAAAGGGTCGCTAAGGGCGCTAGACCAAAAGGGCTTCAATATAATACAGGCTCACTTAACCTTATTTATATCCCCTCCAAATTACTAAAAAGGGGGCGTTATAGAAATCTCGCCCAGGGCGCTAGTAATACTAAAATTTAAACTGGATATACTTTCAATTTTATCTGACCATACTCAGAGACAGTAAATTTACTTTTATTTAATCAAAATAATTTAAACTCATTTGCAAGAAAATGCTAAAAACATCACTTGATTAAATAAGGATCATAATTCATTTGTATTAATATTATAAAGAGGAAAGATCTGTATTTTTGTATATATTTAAATATTTCTAAAACTACTAAACTGATTAAAAAAATTGCACTATTTAAAAGCTACTATTTATTTGTTAATTTCACGCGGACGAAGTCACCAGCATCAGCTAGTTAATTAAAAAAAACTATCTTTACAGACGTTCCAGAAATATCTATCATACAAGAAGGATCACAGCGAACTATTATACTACATTCTACGTCAACTCACAATGGACCAGTTAGCTTATATGCGTGGTTTGCACAATCACTCACAGTCCACTATAGAGATATCAGAAAGAGATCTAACGGAGAGAGCGAGACAGATAAACATCACAGACCTCAAGCCGTTCTACGATAGTAGGATATTCAAAATCAACAACTTCAGTTATGACCAGAAAAGGAAAGTGATTATTCATATTTTGCCAGAAGCGCCTAGTGCGACGTAATGAACTGGATATGTACAGTCGCGGACATCCGCGGTGTTATAAACTCCGCCTTTTACAAATAACCAATTAGGTAACAGTGAATTATGTAAACGACGGGATAATAAAAAAAGCGGTGTTCTACTGACTGACATCATACTAATATTATATATGCGAAATTTTAGACAAATGGATGAATGTTTGTTAGAGTTTGTAGCATAAATGGCTGAACGGATTTCGATTTTTGGTATAGATGTAGAGGATAGTCTGGAAGAACACAGTCTACTCATTTATTTTGTTAATTCCACGCCGACGAAGTCGCGGGCGAAAGCTAGTTTTTTCATAAAACATATCCAAAAGCTGCGTAGTATTGGTTATTGTTCCGTGTTTAAACAAATCTTTTATGTTAGAATACCGAGAGATTCCCCGACTGTACATATTTTGTAATTGTAAGCTTCCACTGCCTAAACTCATGTTCCATAGCTCGAATAAAGAGTGTAGTAGTATAAAACCCTCGCCATAATTCCAAAAATACAGTCAAACAAAATGTAATACTATCTATATATTAAAATATTATATAGATTTTTTAGCAGTGGATACCTACTTTAATGCCGATCATCACTCCCACCATACTTTAATTATAATGTTAATCTTGTATTTGTTTTGTATGAATGTTTTTTAATATAATAAAATAAAGTGCCTCTCTGTTCTCTGTTTAAATGATAATCTTATTACCTACACCCATACATTCAATCAATTGTCTTGTCCCAATAGGGTCAGCACAGAATTAACTTCGACGGTACAGTAAGTGCTTGATTCCCACCATGGTGAAAAAATGTGTGAAGTCAACCCGCAGTAGGCTAACTTGGTTGGCCTAGTCAGGGCTTTAGGGTAGGGCTCCAAGTCCCTCATTGAGTACATATGAGTCTACGGCAGTATTATTACTCTTCTTATTTTCTTTATACTATATGCTACCTTATGCATATCCTCTTTCACACATATATCCAACCTTCCCATACCTTATAGTCATTTTATGCCCTTATTTGCACGGGCGCTAAATAGTGCGAATCCAAAAGTAGGTTTGTGATACTCCGAGTAATCTGCTGCGCCGACCTTACAGTAGTATAAGGAAGATGATTCGCACGGGCGTTTTTTTAACGCTGTGGTTCTTGTGAATTGGCTGTTTCAAAATAACTCATATTTCGTTTGCACAAAAAAGTGCTACCATATAAACATATACAAGGAAATGCATTTGTTCTAATTCAATACGCGTTATAAAAGCGCCAGTGCTAATCGGGGGTAAACTATAATGTAAATAAAACCTCTGCGCTAGTTGACTGGTTTAATTATTTTTTTAAAAATCAGACTTTTCTAAAATAAATATTTATTCCAAGAAACATATTCTGTCACAGTTAAAAACAATATTTCATCTATTATAAATCCAGTTATCAAACAAAAATAATTGGCAAATTTTATTTTTACAAAGCATAACCGTTACATTGAGTGATTCAAGACCTATAGCTGTTAGTTATACATCAATTAGACAACATACATACTATTAAAATCTTAAAATGAGTGACCTAATCACTACTAAACAATAAATACAACATTTTTACACAACTAAATCTACATTTCGAACCATCTTAAGACTTCTTTAGAAATGTTTCATTTGGGATGGGTCGATTTTATTGTTTAAAAATTTTACAATCACATAGTTAAAAATTAACACTAAGAATTATCTTAACTACAAACTCTTGCCCCTAGACTAGGTGGCAACACATTCCATGCACACTATTTTGTATGAACCCACCAGGTGAGTCCGCAGTACATGTTAAATTTTCAATGACCTGCATTCATTTTAAAACAATTCGCTCGCAACCAAACTTTTAAGAACCCATTCACAGTGGCAATCTCCTTAAACTCTTTAAAACTGTGAAAAGATATCAACATAATAAGATTTAGACAATTACAAATGAGAACATGAGATATTTTGCTAAAAAAAAAACATAGATAAAAAAATTTACACAAGCCTAAATCCTATTGAGTACATTAAACACAAATATGCAACTACCTTTATTCTGAAAGTAGAAAAACATTTAAATTTCTCATGATTTTTACATCAGACAGATATAGAAACCATTTGCTTTAAAACATACTGTTAAAATAGACAGAAAGATAGAATTGAAAATTAAAACGGTAAAAAGAAGGTAAAAACGAGTTTTTTAGAATTTAAATCATCTTAAATAGTGCGTATTGAAATAAAAAATAAAATTCAGTTATAATGGCAGTGATCAACATAAAAAGTAGCAAAATATCTCACCTTCTGTATAAAATTACAGTTTTAGCTTAATCACTCCCTGATCCAGATTCCGACTCGCTGTCACTGCCGCTGCCACTATCACTGTCACTGCCTGAGCCACTGCTGCTATCGCTTCCAGAAGAATCCGAGCTGTCTGAACCTGAGTCCGAGGAGCTGCTTGATGAATCCGAACAGTCTGAGCAGTCTGAACTAGCACGCTTCTTTTTTCTCGGAATCTTGCATTTGCCGTTGCTGCAAATTGACATAATTGAGGGTAGGTTCTAAAATTAAACTTAAGCTTTTAGATTTTGAGTATTGATGTTTCAAATATTTGTATTTGAAAATTCATTATTAATGTAAGGTATTTAAAAAAAATTGTCAAAGTAGGTAAGTTCCAATAATGTGTGTGTGGATTCAGATATTATGGCTGATTGAAATGTATGGAAGAGCAGCAAATTCTGTGCCAACCCTCCATAAGGGATAGGGCAAGTTGAAAAAAATTATTCTTGCTATTCCCCATTGTAACATATGGTAAGCCAAAAATACAATAAACATTTGTAAAATTCAGTCAAAAACATTTCTTAATCTAATTTAGGAAGATCGTTAATCCGTTACAACAGTTACAATCCTTAGTAATAATTTTTTCTATCTACCTTCAAGTTACTATTCTAGAAAGAACAACCATATGGCAAATTTTACTCGACACTAATATCAAAATTTACCTGCACTGGCCTTCTTCCTTCTTTTCTAAATTCTTTTTAAGGATCTTTGTGCGTGACGGTCGGACCAAGATTTTTCGTTTCCCCGTGCACTCGTAGCTCCAATGCCCATACTCCAAGCATTTCTGACAGCGAATGCCCTGAGGAAACGCCGCGGCCAAAGCTGCTTGCCTGTTAACAAATCAATTTTATATTTAAAATATCGGAAAATATGGAATATTTTACAATAAAAACCTAAAATTTTACTTTTTCCTCTGAGCTTGATGCCTGTTGTAAGTTCCCAGCGTCATTTTATTTTGATTGATTTATCGAGGTACAAATTATAATATTTTTCTTAAAATCTCGATTAGGTATAATAACTGAAAAATTCTATAAGACAGCGATTTGTAAGTACTTCTCAAACAGCTCGGCAAACACAAACAAAACGAAGCGAAATGATAGATTTGCGTCAAGCGTAGCCATCACACATTTTGTTTTTTCTTTTCTGTCATATTTCACAGCTCTGCAATCGATGTCTTTCTCAATTTCTTATTTTCCTAATAAAAATTACTACTATATTATTTGTTTTGAAAAGTGTTTTCTGCTTTAACATGTTAAATAAAATCTAAAATAAAAAAATTATAGTTATTTTTTTACATTGATGACTCATTGCAATATTTTTCAACGATTGTTAGTTCTGTCATATTGACAGATTTTTGATAGATTACGCGTGGAGGTGTGTGAGTGATCATCTGTGCAAAAGTTGTTTGTATTTATTGAGTGATAAAACTTGTATTTTTCCTCAAGTTTTGTAAGACACCTAGAAACTGAAATCTAGGTATTTGAGATGTCCGAATATAATTTCGCAATAATAATATGTCGGATTGGTATTGGCGAGTGATCGCCTTGAAGGCTGCTTTTGCGCTTACATGTTTAGTTTCTTATCTTAGCGCTGATGTTACGATACAGAAGTTACCGTTTTGTAATCCTCACAACGCAAACGGTGTATCCGACGAGTAAGTTACTCTTGAAAGATGATTACTTTAAATACGTAACATTCTTACTTTTAAACATTTTGAACATGTTTGGACAGGAATCTTCGGGTTTTTTAATAAAGCGTACACTTTTGCGTTATATGTTTAGAACACGTACATTTTTAATTGATAGCGTAATCTCTTGCACTTTTTGCAGTATGTAGTCTTATTTTCAAGATTAAGCAGCAAAAACAAACATTATCCAATAAACCGCGACCTTGATATGTTAAGCTGTAACATTTTGTTAACATTCTATCAGTTTGCGATTTTTTATGCATTCTTAAACTTTTATCTATTTCTTTATATCTGCATAACTCTAATTGCATTATATTACTTTGATTTGAAATAAAACATTTGTATTCTTTCCACATATCTTTTTAGCAACTTAATGAATTACCTTCAATACAAAATTTTGTTTGTTTTTACTTTACTTTATGTAGCTTAATTCCACCTTTATATTTTAGAATTAAACACTATTTGAAAATAATGATTTAATGTAACCAAATGTTTATATTTACAGTTTAGTGATTGTCAGCACTGTTGATGGAAAGTTGACAGCTTTCTCCACAAAAAATGGTATCAAAGCTTGGGATGTAGAAACTCAGCCATTGCTGTCATCCAATCTGCATCATGTGGAGGTAAATCTTTATTTTCTTAAAATAAAATCTGAAACTCAAATATTGTTAAACTGAACACCTCTTAAGGTGGAAAAAAAACTTTCCCTCTTCATTGAGTCTTAAAATCTATGTTGAATCTTACTTCTTACTAATATTATTATTGGGAAAGTTTAGATGGATGGATGGATGGATGGATGTTTCTTAGAGTTTGTAGTCTAAATAGCTGAGCTGAATTCAGTGAAATTTGGCATAGATGTAGAGGATAGTCTGGAAGAACACACAGGCTACAAGCTTTCATTTATTTTAATTCAACTAGGACAGAGTCACAGGCGAAAGCTGGTTATTTATGTTATGTTAATTGAACAAATTGTTACTTCTCTTATTTTTATAAAAACTCTTATTATAAGTTATGTTTTCCCATTTTATGTTATTTATTATCATTTCAGTTAAGTGCTGGAGGTAAATGGGTGCGACTTGTGCCTTCCTTACGCGGCACATTATACAGTCTTAGCGGAGACACTATCGAACCTCTGCCATTTGATGCTGAGCAACTGCTGTCATCATCATTTAAGTACTCAGATGATTTGGTGATTGCCGGTAAGTTTATAGATCGGATAATGTCCATTGCTGAAACACTTACTAATGTTATAAATAGGATTTGGATGGATGGATGTTTGTTATGTATCTCCAAAACAACTTTGGATGTCCATTAAGTTGTTTGGAGATCTAGAGTGGTAGAGCCCGCTTTAACATCTTCGCACTGTATGGCCGGCTCGCCCGGTGTAATACCATGACCACACAGAAAACAGACGTGAAGTGGAAGGAATTCCGCGTTTAGTCTGATGAGTTTGGTGCCGGAGGCCTAATTTTAGTCCCTTTCCCTTTCCACACTTTTCTTAAGAGAAAAGGATTGGAAGGAAAAGTGGATTTGACGGTGGAGGAGACGCATAGGAAGGTGAAATGTCCTCTATATGTGCGTCTCCTCTTCCGTCAATTAAGGGTAGGCAATGCATCTGCAATTGCGGATGTTTATGGGCAGCGGTCGCTTTCCGTTTCGGTGGATTTAGGTGGCCGCTTGCTCGTTTGCCATCTTATATTATGAAAAAAAAGATCTAGAGATCATCAAGATAGATGAAATTTGGTACAGTTTTAGAACATAGTCTGGAAGAATACATTGGTTACTCGCTAAGTTTATTTTGATATATGCGCGGACTAAATCGCGGGCAAAGGCTAGTATAATATAATAATTTTATTTATAGTACAGTAGAACCTCTATAAGTTAAAGTCCAAACCAAATATTTTAAGTTATAGAGGTTTTAAGTTATCAAAGGTCTATGTTGTAGAGGTTTTGTGCTTTGATGGGAAGAGAACATATTATTTTTTGAATTCATAGAGGTTTTTAAGTTACTGAGGTTTGAGTTATCCAGGTTCTACTGTAGCAGTTTGACTAACACTTAAAAATGAATATTTTACTAAGTTTAAAATAACCCAAAAAAGTTATTTTAATAGTTCAAAAGCATATCCAAGTTTAGTTGAAGAAATAAGTTATGCAACAATAACTTAATAGAACCTTAATTGTACTATTTAATAATGGAAATAATGAATCTTAATTCACATTACTTAATTATATATAATTAATTGATATTTCCTGTCTTAAATAATTCTGTAATAAATGCAATTTTAATATTCAATCTAAAGTTATGAATATGCATGAAGTACATTAAAGTATTAATTTAGCCAAAATCTCATATATGACTTATTCTTTAGTATTTTATCTTATCTTCTTGATAATAGAATAAAGAAGGAAATGATTGTTTCAAAACATAATATTGTTTTGATTCTGTGTTTATTAACCATTGTGGTATATGAGGGTACCTTAATATAATATAATGTCAGTTCACTCATAATAAATTAGTCCAGTACCAACCGCCGTTTCAATAACACCCCTACATTACAGTTAAGTTAAGGATGTTTTTAAATTCCTACTGAGAATGTTATAAGTTAAAGTATTTAAATTGAGTTTTGTTATTAAATTTTCCTTGTATTTTTTTTAGTTTAGTGCATTTGTACTGGTATACTGAACAAAAGGACTGCCTGAAAACCAGTGCAGGGATTTCCTGCACCATCTGAAATGACCACCTATTACCACTCTTTTTTTTGTGTTAAGATTAGTTTATGCATACTAGCCTTTTGCCCGCGATTAAGTCCGCGTGGATTTAAAAAAATGTAAACAGCCTATGTTCTACTATGTTCTACAACGAGATCCCTTCAGCTGTTTAGGCTATAAACTCTAATAAACATCCATCCATCCAAACTGTCGCACTTTTAATATTAGTAAGATTCAGCTAGATTTATTTTTTGTACCTTTTGTACGGTATTAGACATTTATTCTATACTATGTTCAAGGTGCAAGAGAGACACTATGGGTGGGTATAGACGCGCACACAGGCACCGTGATATACGAGTGCGGGTCTGCGGGCTGCAGCAGCGAGCAGACTGCGGGCGCGGGACGAGAGGTACTAGTCCTGCGTCGACAGTCCAGCACAGTGAGAGCCCTTGAACCGCACTCCGGACAGGAAAAGTGAGTTCATGTTTTATTGGAAAATTTTTGGTTTTTTGTCAACAGTCAATATACTGATATGCTTGAGTCTTGTCGACGGAATGTTAAAATACACTTTTTATGTTAATAAAAAGTCTTTGTAAATATGTTTTTATTTGACTTTGTTGCTATACACGATGTTACGAACTCTTTGTACTTCGACTACTTTGAAGCGTAGTAAGTAGAGCCTACTTATGATATACTAGCTTTCGCCCGCGACTCCGTCCGCATGGAGTTAAAAAAACAAATGTAAGTAGCCTATATGTTCTTCCAGACTCTCCTCTACCACTTATACCAAATTTCATCGAAATTCGTTCAGCTCTTTAGGCTACAAACTCTAATAATTATCCATCCATCTAAACTTTAGCATTATTAGAATGACTAACATTAGGCTATGTGGTTATCAGATGGAACTTCAGTGTGGCGGAGCACCAGCTATCGGTGAGTCGGCGGGAGTGCCTCGGCGCGGGCGCTCCGCCCAGCCCCGTCACTGTGGGCGTCGACCTGCCCGAGGGCGTGGTCGCAGTACGACTACCCGGATCACAGAAACCTCTCTGGCAACAGAAAGTACGTGACATGGATTTTACTGTATTTTACATTATTTTTGGTAATGTAATCAGTGTTTCGTCAAATTTTACTGATTAATCAAGCAACTGAAGATATGTCTTGTAACAAATCGAACAACAAATCGTACAATCTATAAATAAATCTACTGACCAATTCAAGTACTAAATGTTCAATGAATTTGTAACAAGACAAGTGATCAGTTTATTTTTTAATATATAAAGTAATAACCATTTTAACTTGACCTTTGGAATGAAGCATTTTCAGTTAGGAAAGGGTTCAAATTAATTTGGTTTTATACGACGAAAATGTAATTAGGAAAACCTACAAACAAAAAACTTTATTAATTTCCCTTAGGGCAAAGTACTTGTGTCCAAACTGTAGGCTGTGTTAGGGTAATTAAAAAAACTAGGGTGGTGCCCTGTGTGATGGATGCCCCCGCCATCCATACCACAGAGAAACTGATCACACTGAAAAAAAAATAAAATAATATTTAATCCTTGTCAACACTACAATTATGAAAGAAAAAGTAATTAAACACAAAATAATGAGAAACGTAACTAATGAAAAAAAGAAATATTTAAAATTAGCGTTGCAATGCTGACTGGATTGGGTCCTCGCTCAGCTATAAATGCTGGATGCTCCTATTGAAGTACCAGCGCTGACCTTCCGCGAGAACCCTTGGGATCATCCACACGTCAGTAACATTGTGTTATTGTGTGTATTGTGTAGCTAGAAGCGCCTGTGGCAAGCCTGTGGCGGCTGCAGGGCGGCACGCTGCAGCACGTGGACGTGCTGTGGCAGGCCGCGCAGGCGCTGGCTGAAGCCGAGCCCGCCCCGCCCTCGCTCTACATAGGGGTCCACGACCGACAGGTTAGTCATAAAATGTATACATACAACTGTTTCGTCGTGTGTTTTTATATAATCAGCTAGGCATTAAAAAACTTCTTAACTAGTCTATGGTCAACATCTGTGTCAAATTTCATTTAGATCCGTTTAGTCTTACCAGATATATTTAATAATAAACATCCATCCATCGAAACTTTCGCTGTAATATTAGTAAGGTGTTTTTTTTATTTTGTTTTGTTTAAGATGTTTTATTTTGTTTTATTTTACCAATTTGTTTATTAAACATTTGGTCCAAACGAGCCGGATTGGAGTAAATCATTAAATAGATTAAATGGTTCTAAAATATGTAATTGTGTTTAAATATCTCGTAAAGGCTCTTTACACGGTTATTTTTACGGATTTATTAATTGTTATCTTTAGTTTACTGCTTAAATGGATCATTTTTTTTATTGTAATTCAATTTTTTTGTATTAGATTTTTGTATTCAAAAAAATTGACAATTTTTAACTAATGTTATTTAGTCATTTACTTATTAAATTTATTTAGTTGTTTAACCCGTAATTGCAATCCAATAAAATCATGATGCATTTATACACCAATCTTCTTTTCCAAACCCAATAGATTATTTTAAAAAATGTTTTTTTTTTTATTTTTCCCTTAATCTATGTTCAATTTAATACCCGTTTCAATTTAGGGCACTTAAAAAGAAAAAATCACGCATTTAAGATACTAATACAGAATGTTTCCAACAATTTACCCTTAATTTATATAGTTTCTTGTATTCGACAGTTATACATCCAAGAGAGCGTGTTGTACGCACAGAAGGTGGAGACGTCGGTGGCAGCGCGGCCGTTGCCATGGAAACTGAAGCACTCGCGGCCGCTGCTCAGCGCGGCGCAGACCGCGCTCAGTCTGCACGATACTGACCCTGACCTCTCACTGGTCGCACTCTACAGGAATCCTGGATTAACTGGTAAGCTATGCTCTGCCAGAGAGGGGGAGCTCCCCCCTAGAGAAACTACCTCTTACATTCCCTAGCAGGTACATAACTCAAAAACGACTACCCCCCCATTAGTCACCGGCCTAGTCGTACTTTTAGTTAATCTGCCCCCCCCCCCTTCCCCTAGATCAGAAGCTGGCGATGCCCAGCTTCACTAGGCATTAAAACCCTTGCCGTTATATTTGTAACATCGGTCGATATACATCGTAATAATAACCATGTAATTTAAATTTGTTAAAAGTTTCTACCAAGTTTGAATACCTATGTTAAAAAAATTAAAATGATGAAAGTTTGAAGAGGAGATTTTTTTTTTCTCTGAAAATGTTAAGATAGCAGAAATCCACATTAATATGAATTTACAAAAACTCAATGTTAACAAGATATTTCTATACAAATATATTATAAAGAGGAAATATTTGTGTACATATTGCAATAACTCAAAGTACTGGGCTGCAAAAACTCACCATTAAAAAGCAACGTTATCATCGAGCAACATTAATTTCACGCGGGCAAAGTCGCGTGCAACAACTAGTTTAATATAAAACATAATCTATTTAAAAAAAATCCCATACAAATCAATAACCTATAAAAATCTGTTCTACATATAAAGCCCCTTATCACCAGGAAACCACGGCTTCTTCCTCTACATCCAAGATACCTGCGACCAAGCAGTCCAAGTCTCCGAAACCTTCGAACCATCAGACGTGATCCCCAACAACAGTGAGAACCAATTCGATCACCATCACGTTCACGTCCACGTCTACTCCCTCTGGTTCTGGTGGAAGGAAGTCTTCCTCATCACGGTCAGCACAGCGTTACTCCTGAACCTGCTCATCTGGCCCAAACTCTTCGCACAGAAGATACCACCTCCAACTCCAGTACCAGTGAACCAAGAAGTGATAGTTGTGGAACGACATTATGAAAGACCTCAATCGACAAAGGAATATTCTGGAAGATATGAAAATGATTTCACTCCGTTACGTTGTTTGGGTCAAGGAGGTTTTGGTGTTGTTTTTGAAGCGAGGAATAATATTGATCATTGTTCGTATGCTGTTAAACGGATTACTCTACCGAAGAGGTAAGTGAAATATTGAAAAAAAATTGCAATAATTCTTCATAGAATCTGTAATTCTAACAGCCTTACAAATAAACTCGGTCTAAAGTTAATCTTAGGAGTAAACTGAGTATAAGCATACATTATAATAGTGGTAAGGGCCCGCTTTAACATCTTCGCACGAATGGGTCGGCTCGCCCCCAGCAATACCACGACCACACAGAAAGCAGGCGTAAAGTGGAAGCAATTCCGCGTGCAGTCTGATGAGTGTGGTGCCGGAGGACTAATTTTAGTCCCTTTTCCTATCCACCCTTTATTGAGAGGAAAGGATGGAAAGAAAAATTGGATTTGACGGTGGAGGAGACGCATAGGAAGTGGAAATGTCCTCTTTATGTTCTCTGTCATTAAAGGGTAGGCAACGTATCTGCAATTGCGGATGTTTATGGGCAGCGGTCGCTTTCCATTTCGGTGGATTCAGGTGGCCGCTTGCTCGTTTGCTACCTTATATTATAAAAAAAGTTACTTATTTCTAAGTTTAACTTTATATCAGGTTTATTATGGCTGTATGTGGTCAAGTTAATACTTCATACTCTAGGCTATATAAGCTTAGGGGCTGAGTAAATTGTAAATAAATGCTCTAATAAGCTACGAAAACTGGTTGCTTAAATTGTCAACCAATAGTAAAGGCCATTTTCATTTGAGTATTTTAATTTTGACACTTGCAATATATTTACTTAGTGTAAAGAATAAAATATAACAGGAACAGCTAATCATACTTCATACTAATATTATAAAAGCGAAAGTTTAGATGGATGGTTGTTTGTTAGAGTTTGTAGCATAAACGGCTGAATGGCTGGATTTCGATGAAATTTGGTACAGGTATAGAGAATAGTTTGGAAGAACACATAGGCTACTTACTTTTGATTTTATTAATTCCACGCTGACGGAGTCGCGGACCAAAGCTAGTATTTCATAAAATAAAATAAAAAATCTCAAACATTTGTAGAGTAAAATTAATAGTTATTTTTATACATTTTCAGGCAATCTAAACGCGAGCGTGTATTACGTGAAGTGCGGGCGCTCGCGAAGTTGGAACACGAGAATATAGTGCGTTACTTCAACGCCTGGCTCGAGGAGCCTCCGCCGGACTGGCAGGAGAAACGAGATGCTGTACTTATGCGGTAAGATTTAATCACATACACGTCCGCACGCGGCGGCGGCAGATCACCGACTGACAGTAGCGCCATCTATGTATGTCAAACGAAATTACTGGCGCCAGTTAGTTTTTACATTATGCCATTTGAATGTCAGTCCAGTTATTGAGTTTTGCTGTTACATAGTTTTATATATATACGATCATCGCCCGCAAAATTCGTTAGCGCAGAACATTTTCGTGTGCATCGACGTTTTAACAACTACCTTCCACTCGCTCCACCAGTTCCAGATATAGCGGTCCGGTCGCCATTTTGACAGCGCGGAATAAAAAATGTGTAGCCTATAATATGCCCGTCCATGTCAGCTACCCTCCAGTGAAAGTCCCGTTGACCTCGGCCCAGCCGTTTCGAAGATTGCTCGGAACAAACGCGGATTACGGACAAACAGAGAAACATTTTTTTAATTCGATTTTCGTTACTAGCAATTTTTTTTCTTTTGATGTTACAAACAGACACTCCAATTTTTTTATATGTATAGATTCTTTAAATATATAACATGATATATAAATTTCTACAAGACAATTATTTTGAAGATGAATATTTTACCCCAGATTTTATATTACAGTGAACTCGGCAGTATGTCAGTGTTGAGCAGCGAAGAGGCCAGCTCTGCCACCCCCGTAACCCCAACATCCCCCTCATCCCCCTCATCCCCCAACAAATCACCCCTCAAAGCGGACAGTGTCACACTTAACTTGCACAAGCCACTGGATTACTGTGTTGACGCACTGGACTACGACAAATTAAAGGAACCTAGACGACACAGGTAATAGTTTGTCTAAACTATGTTTTACCCGTAAATCCTTCCGCGAGAAATTTAATGTTAGTAAGTGGCCATGTTCTTCCAGAATATTCTATATGACAATACAAGTTTTATACAGACCTATTAAGCTGTTTTGGAGATATCTTATAACAAACATCCATCCATCTAAACTTTCGCATTTATGATATTAGTAAGACTGCCTAAATTTTCTCATACTTAGTGTTACTTTGTAATAAAAAATGTATACACAATTTATTCATACATTTTTATGCGAGGAGAAAGTTAGCTTACATTAGCCACGATTTTTTTAAAGAAGTTAGGAAATCTATATTTTTATTCATTTATATGTAAACTTTAATTACATTGTAATATACGGTATGAATTATCTACATGAGAATAGTTTATTAATTTTTTTTTTTTCATAATGTTTACATGTAAAAAAACTTTCAGATCTCTAAGCTGTAACGATTCCTTCAGCATTATATTCGACGAGGACGCGTCAAAAATATCAGAAACATCGAAAAAACATACAAACACGGAGCCTCCTAATATATTATCCAAAGATTTACAAAGTTGGGATAACTCGATGTTGTCTAAATCACATACAACCGGTTTCCGAAGTGAATCTAAGAAAGATGATTCTTTTATTGTATTTCAAGATAGCACAAAGGAAAGGCAGGACCTTTCTAATAAGATATTAGATAAAGTGAAGGAATATGACGGATATGTTAAAACGGACACCTCTAACCATAGTAAGAAAAAGGTAAGTGATTACTAAATATATTAAAAATGTCTTTTCTACATGATTGAATGAAAGTTGAGTGTAAATGAAATTAAAAAAAAAATGTACTAATTTATTAGATATTTGTTACATTACATTTCTATATAAAAATGACTATCTTTGTGTCTAAAATTGAACAAAGGTTGAGAGTACATTTAAGAAACGAAAGAATACAAGATGTTCTAATTTTTTTTTAATTCTTATCTATTTTACAAAAGAAACTTGTATTCAATGTTAGATACGGTACTTAAAGTGGCTTACCTCAGTATTTTTCTCAATATATCTACACTTAGGGTTTTCTTTAATAACCAAATAATGTCTTTGAGTGTGACATTTACCTAAACGTATCTCGATAAAATTGGGCATAGATGTATATGATAGTGTGGAAGAACACATAAGCTACTTTTGTTTTTTTTAATTCCACGCGGACGGAGTCACGGGCGAAAGCTAGTTGACTATACATTAACATCTATGTCCATTCAGAAAGGTCATACGCGGCACTGGTCACTAGACCTGTGTGTGCGGGGCGGGGGCGAGGAGGGTGGGGCAGAGGCCGGGGCAGGGGCGGAGGCCGGGGCCGGGGCCGGGGCCGGGGGCAGCAAGATGTACTTATACATCCAGATGCAGCTGTGCCGACGCGACAGCCTGCACGACTGGCTTCGACACAACAGGACCTGGGATGCCCGAAGACAGCATGTCAGTAATTATGTTTATTTTCATTACAAAGTACAGTCGAGGGAATCCGCGGTGTTGTACTTCCAAAAACTGCCTAACTTTTTGCAAATAAACTAAGTAGCAATTCAAATTAGCTCTGTTAGAATGTACATTTGTACATTCCAACAGGTGACAGGAAAACTTTTTTTTTTTATTAACAATTTTAGTAGATTTTTGTTAATTTACTAACATTTCCTTTAATCGTTCCAACTAAGCTCTAGGCTTGTGCTAGGGTATGGTTTACGGCAGTAGTCGAATGGCGGGGTTCAAACCCTCAACCTCAAGTTAGTTCGTACCACAAACCAAATAAATATTAAAATGTACTGTGCTCGGTATACAAATGGAATTGTACAATAATGTACTTGACAAGATAAACGATTATTTTACATTGTATTGGTCCCTATTTTAATTTAAAAAGCGTATTCATCTGATGCTTAAATTAATTGGTCAAGCGCTGGTTTATTAATGTTAAAAAATATATATATATATGTAACAATACTCCAGTCAGTTAAGTTTCAGTTGACGTTACAAGAGAGTGAACTATTTATAGTAATTTACCCAAAGACTGAATGTAGTGTTCGTTTCTATCATCATCATCTCCCCAGCCTTATCCTACTCCCGTAGGGTCGGCGCACCGGGTTATCGTCCTCCAAAGCACTCTAATACTAATCTAATAACAGTGGTAGTGCCCGCTTTAACATGTTAGCAGTGCAGGGCCGGCACGCCCCCAGTAATACCACGACCACACAGAAGACAGGCGTCAGATGGAACCAATTCCGTGTTTCGTCTGATGAGTGTGGTGCCGGAGGCCTATTTTAAGTCCCTCTCTCTTTACCACCCTTTTCTTATAAGGAGAGGATGGGAAGAGGAAGTGAATTTGACAGTGGAGGAGATGCATAGGAAGGGGAAATATCCGATTTATGTGCGTCTCCTCCTCCGTCGGATAAGGGTAGGCAACGCATCTGCAATTGCGGATGTCTATGGGCAGCGGTCGCTTCGCCATTTTGGCGGATTCAGGTGACCGCATGCTCGTTTGCCACCTTATGTTATAAAAAAAAAATCTCTGTTCGTTTCTATATAAAAATGTATTATCGCAGGCAAACGTACTGTTCAGTCAGATAGTATCAGCGGTAGAGTACGTTCATTTAGCGGGTCTAATCCACCGCGACCTGAAGCCCAGTAATATCTTCTTTGCGCCCGACGGCCGCGTTAAGGTGGGGGACTTCGGTCTCGTCACCGCTATGAACGACAGTTCACAGGACGGAGAAACTACGGATATCGATGTGTATGCTAGACACACGCATCGAGTAGGTAAGGATATACTTCATACTAATATAAATGCGAAAGTTTAGATGGATGGATGTTTGTTAGAGTTTGTAGCCTAAACGGCTGAACGGATTTCGATGAAAATTGACATCAATGTTGACATCAGTTTTGTTTTTTTGTTTTAATTCCACGCGGGCGAAAGCTAGCATATAATAAAGCGTCAACATATACTACTTCGTGGTCGTCCTACACTTACACGCTTTAGGTGTTTTTTGCTATTACACTTAGGGGGCAAATAAATTAGGTATAAATCCTTCATGTAGGAAAGGGACTATAAACTATAAGCTGCCAACATTAAGCAAGCAAGGTTAGTGATAAAATACAAAATTCTCGGTTATTATACCTATTTGCACTGTACAGTTGAAAACATATATGATTACGTATTTAAGATCGTACTTTATATATTTCTCAATTTGTGATTATCCAAACCCCCCTGTCAATCCAGGCACGCACCTGTACATGTCGCCGGAGCAGGTGGTGGGCAAGCCCTACAACTACAAGGTGGACATCTACTCGCTGGGGCTGGTGCTGTTCGAGCTGCTGCAGCCCTTCGGCACGGAGGCGGAGCGCGTGCACTGCCTGCTGCGCCTGCGCGCCGGACTCTACCCCGACTCCTTCCACCACACGTATCCTGCTGAGGTGAGACACCAACTATATGAATATATGGTTTTTATATTACGAGGTAGCAAACGAGCAAGCGGCCACCTGAAACCTGAACGCTGCCTATTGACATCTGCAATTGCAAATGCGTTGCCTACCCTTAATTGACGGAGGAGACGCATATAAAGAGGATATTTCCCCTTCCTATGCGTCTCCTTCACCGTCAAATCTTCCCATCCTTGCCTATTTAGAAAAGGGTGGAAAGGGAAAGAGAAAAATATTAGGCCTAGTTAGAAGTAGCCTTGTAGTTTCGTCACTAAAATGTGTCTAAAAAACAAATTCTGTGTCCATCTCTGCTAGTAAATTTAGTTTTATAACGTCCGCCCGGAATAAAAAAAAATAGTAAGTTGACTCTGTTTTCTTTCAGACTATGTTTTACATCTGTGTCAAAAGCTAGTCTGTACTATCTATACTCTATACTATTATAGAAGCGTAAACACGCATTACTTAGTTAAATGGTATTTAGCAATCTAAGTTATTGAACTTAGGGTGTAATGATAATTGTTATGCAATGTTAAATATTTTCTTCGTTTGTGTATTTGAATTTTAACATTTGCAATGGAAAATCTTACATTTGTGTAAACAATACAATAAAGATTTTATAATTTGATGCGGACGGAGCACGGGTACAGCGCGTCTGTACTAATATTATAAAGAGAAAAGATTTGTATTCCTATATGTATTCGATTAACTTAAAAACTACTGAGCCGAAATTAAAAATTCTTTTACCATAAGAAAGATAATTTATCAGTGAGTAACATAGATTGTATTTTAATAATAAATGTAAACATTTGCAGACGGAGGTATTGAAGTTGATGTTGAGTGCTGAGCCGTCGGAGCGTCCGACGGCGAGCGGCGTGCGCGCGCGGGCGCCGCTCTACCAGGCCACGGACGAGCGCTGGCACTTCGCGCTGCCCGCGCCCGCCGACCTGCGCTAGCTGTACTCTCGGGGAAGCTGGCGGTGCACCACATACAAACTTACAACGAAACGACAAACAATAATCAATAGAATTTAAATATATATACGAAAAAAAATATATTTAAGAAATATATAAACTAGATGGATTAATCCCAACCGTCCCCCTGCTCTGTCCCCACGTGAGACTAAATTTCATCCGTCCCACCTTTTAGTCCCACTATCACCAATAAGGTGAGAGATGAAACAGTTATGAAATAAAATAAGTTCCAACCGTCCTCTCGTCGCAAAATGGGTGAAACTTTTTATTGTCATCTGTCTCCATGTGGAGACAGAGCAGGGTGACGGTTGGGAATAATCCGACTATGCATAGGAAACAATTTTCAACGGAAATTCTCTCACATGTAATTGTCAGGTTTAGTGCAACTTCATATTTGTATTGAGTTATTACAAAATTATAATAAGCTCCATCTTTTGTTATAAAATAAATAAATCACATATAAGAATATGACTGTCAATAGATTATGTGAAAAATATCTCAAGTAAAGTGTCAACTATGCGTAGTCTATATGTTTTTTAAACTCTTTGCTTTTTATTATTTCATTGTTTGAGCTAATTGTAACATAATTATTTGTAAGATGAGGAAGTTTGTTTCGTTTCAAGGTATTTTCCCAAATGTTCAACACCGCAGATTTCCGCGACTGTACAAGTCGAATTCAATGGAAATGAGTTTTTCGCTGGTAATTCATTTATTGTGTACTAACTTTTCCCGTGCGGCTTCATCCGCATGAAATTATGAAAATTTTATTTCACTGTTTACATTTGTCAAATTATCAATTGCAAATGTCAAAATGACATGACACGATGGCAACCTAGCTTCCTTGATGTTGGCAGCAACTTATGGTCTCTTTCCCACATTAGGGTTTTTATCCAAAATATTTACCGCTAAGTTCAAAGTCGTTTAAATATATAGCCTAAAGCGTGACGTTAGTGAAGGGCTTTTTATTAAAAAAAATAATTATTCAAAAATATGCTGTAATTGCTGATATCTTAGGCAACAAAGAAGTGTGGGTTTACGCTTTATTATAATAGTATAGAAGTATTTGTTATGGACATTTTTAGTGTTATTAATACAAATATGTCTGTTTTAAATAATTCCTTGATTAAAGCATTAAAGTAGTTTTTAGATAGGTTTGTTATTTATATTATAATTTCATATATTTAAAGGTATATAGAAATGTGTATTACTCGCCACTTGAGTCAGCCCAAAGTACTCCATTGAGTTGTACTCAGGTAATATAAAAATACTTCTGTCTATTTTTTACATTCTAAATGTTTGGTGTATTCTGTTTTTTTATAACCTATTTATTTAAATCAATAATTTATCCAACTTTTTAATTAGGTTAATTGATAATTGTGTTAAGTTCCTTAGAAATGGAAGCGAATTTTTTCATTTTTTTATTTATTTTTAGGAATGCTTTTGTGCCTTATTAAATATTTTAAGATATAGAATCATCTCCCCTACTTTATCATATTTCCGTAGTAACGAGTTTTCGTCCTCCAAATAACATACGTCATCTGTCATCTCTCCCTACAAAGATATTTCTTTATATAAGAATAACTTTCCTATATTGATATATCTTTTGAATCATGTAAGGTATAGCGTCCATTTCCTTATTTCAAAATAATGTAGTTAACCCTTAAATGCACGATTTTTCCTTTTAAATACCATAAATTGGAACGGGTAGTGAATTGAACATAGATTAAGGAAAAACAATTATTTTTTTAAATAGTATATTGCGTATAGAAGAAAAGATTGGTGTATAAATGCAACATCATGCATTTAAGGGTTAAAAGTAGAATTCCACTGACTTAATCATTTATCAAAGAAAATGTAAGGGATAAGAAAATAAGGCAAGCTTAAATTATTATTTTTTTGTATTAATTTTTCATCTATACAGAGATAATTCATCATACATTGTCAATAATTTAATTATTAATATTACGAAGTGACAATAACTTATTTATTTAGACGATTTTATACGTTATCCCAAATAGATTTATTTTTGTCTCTGTAAAATATGTTTCTAATAGCGCTGTTTTATATTTTCTGGTATTTGAATATCAATAAAACGGCTCTATTTGAAATTATCTGAATTCTAATCTATTTCTAGATATAAAAATGTTGTCCATACACATCTACGGGCCTGTCCCACCAAATTATAATTCGTCTGATAATTTGATGTCTTTAAGCTATCTGAGCCTCTATCAGCCAATGGTGGGACAGGTCCTAAATATTACCTACTAAGATATTTAGGGTTATTTTAATTACTAAGGTATAAGATATACAATACTATGAACAGTACATAGGTGAAGTCCAGTGAAATACATATATATGTAGTTAGCGTATTTGCAAAGCTTCAAAAACTAAGTAATCTTCAAAAATATATTTACTTATCCATTTGTATGCTTCTAAATTTGAATATGTACAATCGGGGAAACTGGTGGTGTTCCACTTATAAAAATGCATTCGTTTGAAAACCACGCGCGCGAAAAACCAATAAACGCAGCTTATAAATGTCTGTGCTAAAAATATACTTTAGTGATAATCGACTCTCAAAGAAACTCTTTTTATTATTATTCCTTCGTCCACTCACTGCTATCTAATTGGTTATTTGTAAGGCGGAGTTTGTGTCGTGGCAATGAACAAGGCAATTTCTCTTAAAGTGGTACACTGCGGATTTCCGTGACTGTACATAAGCATTTTTGAAATCTAAAGTGTGTTTCTAGTTTTGTAAATGTATACATATTTATGCAGCTGACTGTAGACTTATAGTGAGGCTTTATTTGATTTTCATATATTTTGTAAACTCGTTTTTTAATTTTGATTTTCATTATTGAAGTTTGATTACTAGATCTTGAAAAAATATGCTTCTTTACTTTTTTAGTTTTTATCTTGCGGTAAATAATTATACAAATAGTATAATATCGTATAAAAATCCATATTAAATATTTGCCTTCGATATTAACTCTAGGAGAAGAAAGATTTGTATTTTTGTACGTAATGAATAAACTCAAAAACTACCAGAATAACTTTAAAAATTCTTTCTTTAGAAAGCTACATGCTCGCTGAATAGGTTATATTTATTATATTTTTTTGTATTCTTCGTGGACAAAGTCGCGAGCAAAACCTAGTATTTAATATTAGGCTGCAATAATTTGCGTATATTAATAAGACTGGGCATGGTATTAAAGAGGAATGAATGAGTTTTATAAGTTTTTTTGTATTGACAGCATTTAAAAAAAAACAATTGTTTGTGTTTCCTTTGCTTGTTATTTTTTACGCTTTTTTCTAGTGTATCTATCAGCATTTCTGATAAATTTTAAATTAAGTTTCGAAATAACCAAAATTAAATTACTCCTAATTTTTTACATTTATTACTCCTAATTTTTTTTATAATTTATGTTTTGTTATGTTTAAGCTGTCACTTGTAATTATGTAGCATACACTTAAAGTTAATGGAAGTGGATGTAATATAGATATTCATCCTAAGATTACTAATTAAATAAATACAACAAAATATTCATTTTTTTTATTTATAAATTCAACTTAACATACATCGAGTTAATTGCTAATACTTGTAAGAACATTTATCTTATTTGGGTAAACAAAAAAAAAACGATATTTTAAAAGTGTGTTTTCACGGTTAATATTATCACAAATAATGCTATTTTTGACCGACTTCCCAAAAGAAGGAGGTACTCAATTCGTCTGTATGTTTTTTTTTATGTGTGTTACGGCATAACTCTGCCGCTAGTGGACCGATTTTGATAATTCTTTTTTTATCCTAAAGGTAATGCTTGCAGATGGGTCCCATTTTTTTGGTTGATTTTTTGATATTATAACTGAACTCTAGAACATTCCATAAATTCGATTCCAGTTTTATTTTTCGGTTCACATTGCCGAAGTGTACATTGTCAATATCAACCTTCTTTTTCAAAAACACATATGTTTTTACACATGTTTTTGTACTGGCTTCGGCGGTTAATACTGTCCGGGAAAAAAACATTAAAATGGATACGTAGTTTTTTAATATTATAAACATGGTTTAACATCAAAGGGAATAAAATACTACCAAAATAAAAACATTTCGTTTTATCGTATTAGACAATAAGTTTCTCCATATATTAGCGTTCAAACAAAATACATATAAAATACACTAAGTTTGGTCATCTTTGGACAACAAACTAAGACAATATTAGTATTGTTAAAGACATCGAAATCAGTTTTTAATAGCGTTTATCACATTTTTACTCTTACAATTAGTAAAATAAGCAGTGTCCTAAATGTTAGGCCATCACAATCGATATCTGAGTAAAATTTTATTATATGAATAAAACTTAAAATATTAAGTAATAAATTAATATATTTATTAACTGGATGTGGTTAAGAGCACCGTTAATAGTTGAACAGAAAAATAAATAACCTGTCAAGATGGCGCCATAGTGTCGGAATAAGTCAGCGCGGGGCCTGTAGCAAATTCTGTGAAGCGGCCCTTGGTTTGCTTTAGATTCTCAAGTTTATGTTATTAAGTAACATTATAAATTTATTTTGATAAAACATTAGAACATTAACTTTAAAAAATCGTAAAATACCTACTTATTTTTACGCTTTAAATTGACGAAATCGAGTTATACATTTTCAAGTGGAAGTAGCATAGCCTAAGCTGTTTGCGTTTAAGGCATGCAAGATATTTTGGTTCCTATCTAAATTTTTTTTTTACTACTGTCAGCCAGGCGTTTGAGCGCGGAGCCCCTAAATTCGGGGCCGTAGTACTCTTGCTATATGGCTAAACCGGCACTGGCGCCATAACTTCCTGCTTCATATAATCGGTATTCAAAAGTACGTAAATTTTTTGTTTTTCCCGATATAAAATACAAATAAAAAAAAATACAATAGAACCATATCAATTGTTATGAATCATTGATAACGCTAAACAAATACATTGTTATAAAGAACAAAAGGTAACGTATTTACACACTTCAATACATGACGCATATACTTTATATAAAAGCACATATAGTTTTTATAAAGGCATATCCTAAAATATATACAATTTAAATACGAATTTGCACGTAAACTATTCAAAATATAACAACGATTTGCTATTTTTTTTTATTTAATTTAACAAGCACAAACGGTAAACTGCCGCAAACATAAAAACTAAAGGCATTCTTATGTTCTTTGGCGATCAGAACTTTTTTTTATTCATCTTAATACATTACAGAGATAGGTAACGCATCTGCTTTTGCAGGCAGCGGTCGCTTCGCTATTTCAGCGAATTCAGTAGACCGTTTGCTCCTTTGCCACCTTATTATATTAAAAATACATTAAAGTCCCGACTTGGAATGTTATGAAACTAAAATATAGAATAAATCACAATTTAACAAATCGTATTAAAAATTTTATACAAATTTCGAAGCTCATAAACTCACCCAAACATTTAATTTATTTAAATTTCTAAATTACAAGTTTACCATCTCCAAAAATATTTACTTTTCGCTTCGATTCACTTTAAACATTTAATTTACTATTCATTATAATAATAATTGTCAACTTTTATGAAAACTGTGTGTAGTGTTGCTATTTTCTAGGAAACTCGGTGTTTTTCCTTCCTTCACTATCCTCAAAGCTTGTAACACTCTCGCCGTATCCATTTCCTTTTCCGAAGCCTTCTCATTGTCAAGACAAATCTCTGACATCCGCGCGTTAAATTGCTCTATGACTTTGACTCTATAATCTATGGACGACGCGACCGGGTTTGCTGTCAACCATAGATATTCCAAGCAAGGTAGTTTGCAAATATTTTGGACTTCTTCTACATCGTTTATTAGATTGCAGCTGAGATCTAGACTTTCTAATGAGTATAAACGGGAGAATCCTTTTAAGGAAGCGACTTTATTCTGTGATAAATCAATTTTGACAATGTTGCCAATCTTTTCGTGCCAATTGTCGCAGATGGAGAAATTGTTCATTGCGAGGTTAAGGGCACGCAGATCGTGGAGGCAAGATATATCGCACAAGTCACTCAGTCGGTTTGAAGTAAGGCTTAATTGCTGTAATCTCGGAACCAATTTGATTGCCCAGTCAATATTCTTTATATTATTGCTTCCAAAATTGATAACAGAGAGTTTCTTCCAAGTCTAAAAAAACGAAAATACATTATTATAATAAAAAAACTTGTTATCAACCTGAAACAGTTTAAATTCATTTTTTTAGATTTGTGGTGAATTTCTTAATCAGTTTTTGTTAAAATATTTGACATGTGAATAGTATTATGAAACTAAGGATTGCTTGTTAATAATTAATAAATATTAATAATAGTAATACTATTAAAGATAATGACAGACATGTGTGACCCATTTAGATCACAAGTAACCCTGTTAATGTAGATAATGTTCTCATGTGACTCATTTGCACATTTTAATGTTTAATTTACAACAACCTTGAGTTACTTGCAAATAAACAATATATATTTAAATAATAACAATTAAAATCATACTAAATTAAATGCCAAAGTTTGGATGGATGGATGTTACCACATATCTCCAAATTGCTTAGCAGATCTAGATGAAATTTGGTGCAGAACTTATTCTACTTATTAAGTTTTTTTCTACATGGATAAAGTTGCAGTACACTAGTGTTCTATAAATGTATTATTAAAACTTCTATCTGTATTACATCCAACCTAAAGTTGTCTATAAAAAAACAATATTGCTACAAGCTACTAAAAATTCAAATACACAACAAGTGTAATCTATACTAATGTTATATATAATATATATATAAAGAAGAAAATTTTGTTTGATAGTAATGAAATAACTCAAAAACTACTGGGTCGATTTTAAAAATTCATTCACCATTAAAAAGCTACATTGTCATTAAGTAACATAGAGTATGTTTTATACTATTTTCTAATTTCACGCGGACGGAGTCGCGGGCGAAAGCTAGTATTCAATACAGAAATAACTAAATATCTTTTGAGTTATTTCTGTATTGAATTTTCAGTTGTGTAAATTAAAACTGACAACCATATTCATACAGATATCTTGTTAAAAAATCGTACATATTACTCACCACAGTGTCAGCGAGACTGGAGGGGTCTTTGTGTAGCACATCTACCAGTAGGAACTCATTGAGGGATACAACACTAGCTACCAGCACCGACAGACTCACTAGAGTATCACGAAGACTACCTGCAAATAACAAATGTTTTGATTATGTGAAAATGCCCTTAAATACTGCTAAAAGCACATTAAAAACACAATTAATTTTACAGCAATTCATTCAAGAACATATATTGAAAGTCGGTGTAAAGCATTTTCTTATAAAAATATATAATATGTGTAAAAACTCAATTTTTATTAAGACCTGCATTGTAATGTTTAATTTGGCATAATTATTTGAAGAAGGTAGTTGTTAATTATTTTTCTATTTATCTCTGGTGCTTTTAACTACTATATAATTAAACTAGCTGTTCCCGTGCGACTTCATCTGCATGAAGTTATAAAAATTTTGTTTTATTGTTTACATTTGTCAAATTATCAATGGCAAATGTCAAAATGACATGACATGACAAACTTTGGCAATCTTGCAGGCAGCAACTTATGGTCTCTTTCCCACATTAGGGTTTTATCCAAAATATTTACCCCCTGAGTGTAATGGCGTGAAAATATATAGCCTAAAGCGAGACGTAAGTGTAGGTCATTTTATTAAAAAAAGGATTATTCAAAAGTATGCTATAATTGCTGACATCTTAGGCAACAAAGAAGTATGTGTTTACATTTTATTATAATAGTATAGTGTGAAAACTTGAATAATGTGGAATATTGTAAAAAGTAAGCTAAAAATAACAATTTTAAGCTAAGTTAAATTTACTTACCCACGCTCTGTATGCATCCCATTGGTACACCAAGTATTTTCAAATCCGTCAATGTTTTAAATGGTATTAAGTCAAACTTAAGGTCATTCGGCACAAGATTACTTGTGCCAAGTATCTCGTAACTACCTTCAATACTCAATGAATTCACTTGTGAACAGAAATCCAAGATGTGACTGAAATCATACATTTGATCTTGTTTCTCTGTTGGAGGACAGGCCATTTTGAATCTCTCGCTGATAGCATGGAGCTGTAAATTATTAAATTACCTTTTTAATTCACTTTTCAGATTGGCAGTGTTTAGAATACAAGTCATCTTAATTTGGCAATTAAGAAAGATGGCACTTTTAGTTAATGTTGTAATACTATTTTTAACCAATTTAAAATTTATTAAAACAAAAATATAGATAAAACTGATGTTGCTGATAATCTAGGCTTGGTGTATAGAGAGGGCAACTAATTAAGGTCTCTATGGGGCCTCTGTCCCTCCTTTTCTCCACCTTGGTAACTTTAATGCAAAGTTTGAGGTAATCTAACAAAACTTGTTTTATTTAATGAGTCACTGTAAATGTGGACAGTATGCACACAGATGTTGTGATTCAAGTTTGACCTTCAAATTAACAATTGACAGATTGTAAATCCCAATAAGATAGTAATAGGCCAATTTAAAGTTTAAATGCTTTAAAAAATGGTGTATTACAAAATTGTAGTACATTTAAAATAAATAATTTGAAGGTACTCACCTCTAAAGGGCTAAATTTATGTGACTTTTCATTTTGAAGTAATTTGTCACCTTCCAAAAACAATTTCTTAGCCAAATCTTGTAGCAGGAAAAATATATCATAAATATGAAAATCAAGAAAATGTGCAAAAATGTAAGGCATAGTTAGCTTCAAATAATTAAATACGTTTTTGAGGTAGTCATTGAGACCTTCTCGTCTTTGCTCGATAAATTTAGGTGTTTTGTTACGTATGACTTTCTTTGGTGGTAATAGTTCTTTAGCGACTCCATGATCGGAAACTAATTTGTCGTGTAGCTCATCGAAATCGCTGTAACGATGTCGCACGGTCCAATTCACAGGCCCAACGTTTACTGTTATTAAATAATAAGTTACATTCTCCTTTGTACAAGCTTCGTCCACACTCACTGTACTATCATTTCTATATTTTATGAACGTTGACATGACGGTAATTAAACACAAGGTTTTTTTTAAATCAAATAGCTATTTTATACATTGCATGTGATGCAACAGCTTTCTTCCGTGACCAACTACGCGATTAATTTAGTAAATTCCCATCCAGGAAACAAGTTGTTGATATTACGTTAAATGTCACTGTCAAATTGTGTAACATTGACAGTTTGCGTTTAGAAATATTTTGATGTTGCTCACATAGACGTCGTAAAAGGCGATTTTATCTGTAGTTTCTTGAGTGCAATTTAAAATCAATGTTGCAAATATAACACAGGACTATAATGTAATGACTATTAGCGAAGACTTAAGTAATTCTTTAGAAGAACATCGTAACAATTCTATAAAGAATTTCCACCTTGGAAAGGTTTAGGGTTTAGGGTAAGTAAATAAAATTACCGTTTTAAAAATAACTCACATTTTTATTAAGTATATTATAAAAATTATCATAAATCCAATTAAAGTTAGATTCCAAATTGTTTGTGCAAATTAATTTTACCATAATACATTCAAGAATATAAATTGAAGAAAGTTGGTGTAAATTATTTTCTTGTATTCTACACAACCCTAGTTCTTAAGACCTGCATTGTAATGTTTAATTCGGCATAATTATAATCTAGAAACATAATTACAATAAAATATTCCAAATAAATGACACAAAAATGAATTAAAACAAGATCACTAAAATTATATTAAAATTCTTCTACATTTAGACAAACTATGAATGCAAAATAATAAAAATAAATATATTCGTGCAAAAATAACAATTGCTGGGTGGTTTCAAAATTTTGTAACAATCATTGCACAAATTGGTAATCCTTGGACGGAAAAGGACGTTACTTTTTTAGGCGACAATTTTATTCCTCATTTAGACTACAAAATTTTTAAAATCCTAATATATTTATTGAGATACATAAAGTTTCATAAGCAATTAATTTTATACACTGGGATGTCATGTTGCCTTTAAGCAACAGGTGTTGCCATTTTAAGAAGCGAAAAAGATTAAAAATATATAATTAAAAACCTTTAGTAATGTTTTAAAACTATTTTCAAAATAGGCACAATTATATAAATAACTGTTTTTGAGCATATGTGAAAATATATTTATCGTTATACGAAAATAACAAAATTGAATTTAAACAAAAAAATTATTTATAATAATAGCAAATATCAACTCAAAGAAATCTTTTTACTTGTTCTCCTTTTGGGAGTATTAAAATTATTATTTTTCAGTATAAAACTATGTTACACTTAATATTATAAAGTTTGCTTATTCTATCCATTATTATATTGATAAAAATATGTTAACTATTTTGTAAAGGCATTGTTTTTTTATCTATATTTACAATAAATTACAATCCGATTAGATTTTTGAACATTATAAAATCACAGTTCAAAATTACGTTTCATGGCATTCATTTTTATTAGAAATTGTTACTAATAAATCTATAATTAGTTTTTAGGTACATAACATTAAGTATTTATTCTTTATAAAAACATACAAATAATCCTTAAAATTAATAAAAATATTTGTTCACAAGTAAATACTTATTTGAAATACGTCATAAGTGTTGCCACCCACATCAAAAACAACAAAAGTTTTTTTACTTTTAAATGTTTATTTTAGTGACGCAAATTTTTAAACATTATTTGAAGTAATGTAGTTAATATAATTTTAGTACAAAAAGAAAAACATTAAAAATTTAAATTGTCTGTCAAGTCGTAAAAATAAGATAGTTTTATATAGAATTATTTACTCAAAAAGCTATCACAATTTATAGGTTATAGAGACAAAATTATCTTCATAACATTTACATAAATAACTATTAAAAAATACAATGAAATACGTCAATTATTCATATTAAAAAAGTTACAGACATTTAAATTATATATTTGTAATTGTTTTTTTTTATTACTTTCTTCTATCCTCATTCTTAGACAACACAATCTATATGGTGGTATAAGTTCTAAGTGATGTCAAGTGTAAGTAATATCAAGTTCTTGCATAGACTATCCAGCTATTAGAATGGCATTTAAACATGTAATATTTTTAAAGTTTGTAATCCGATTTTTCCACTGATCTTTAAATATGGATAGGAGAATTGACAGTTTTACTCCTGACAAACGCGCCTTGTCATTAGTGACAGTTAATTATGTCTACAAGTTCGTATCATCAAGCTATGAATCGCAATAAGGAGCAACAGAGTGTCGAAATTTAGACACAATAACGGTTTGCCTGTCCATGAATAGAGATCAGTGGATCTTTCATAGACAATTGTTAACTAAATAGTTGCCCAGTTTCCAAACACATTTAGCGTAATATTTAAACTGAATATAATTCGAACTTTAAAAGTTTTAATGTGGGCGGAGTCGTTTACTATTAACTGAAATTTTTCTTCTCTATCTTTTTCTATTAGAGTGAGAGGGATGGCAATAACCCTTGTGACGTACACGTAACACTATAGGGATTATTCCAACAGTCACCTCGCTCTGTCTCCGCATGGGGACAGATTAAAATAAAAAGTTTCATCCGTCCCTTTTGCGACGAGGGAAAGGTTGGAACTTTTTTTCTCACTATCGGTCACCTTATTGGTGATATTTAGACTAAAATGTGGGACGGATGAAACTTTTTATTCTCATGTCCCCACGTGAGGACAGAGCGGGGTGACGGTTGGGAATAATCTCACTATAGTACAAAAAATCCTACACTGTAGTACACGAATATTGTGTTATCTGTGTGTTTCTGCCTGAAAAGGCGTTGGCTGTCAGTCATAAAGCTACAGTTCTTTTGTATGAATTATCTTCATATTCTGAACATAATCTAAGAGCATGTTCCTCGCATAAAGAAGCCAATTCTTTTGTCCACTCTTCCAGTATAACCGCGTTTAATATAGACCGTAAAGTAATAGATTGATTCCAGTAATCGTCTTGTGTGAATATAAGTCGCTTTTGTATGGGTATGTGTTGATTGTTCTGTACACTTGTATTCTGCGTTGGGGAAGCTAGAATAAAATTATTAAATTTAGTTTTTAAAACGGAATACACATGCCAGTAGTTGTATGGAGACTACTGGCACGTGACTACAGGTATGTGTAAACGTTACCAAGCCAATAGAGCATGTAGTTAGGAGGATATTAGTTTGTCTCATGAAATTTACTGGCATGTCGCACATTGCGCTAGTAGCTAACACGTGCCAGTAACTGTCATGACTGTAACTCTATTATACTGGCATTTGTATCCTGCTATTATCTTAAATACATATAACCATAAATATTCTATATAAGGAAATACTTGAAAAGTTTTTGTCAAAATGTTCTTTGTAATCATTAAAATACTGCATTTTTACATGAAACATTTTTTTATTATGCCAAATACAGAATCTAACTCCTTACTAATATTTTAAATGCCAAAGTTTAGATGGATGGATGTTGGGAGGTATCTCCTCTCCTAACTGGATGTTGATGAAATTTGTCACAGATAGAACAATCTAGAACACATAGGCTACTAATTATTAAATTAATTCCGGATCATCTAGTTGTTTAATAAGAGAATAACTTACAAGATTGTCGTCTTCCAAACATGTTAGAAAAGCTCGAAGAAAGACTTCGTCGCTTTGCCTCCACACGACGGAATGGAGACTCCTCATGGCGAGCTGCAACTGTACCCGTTTCTGAAAAGCGCGTTTTTTATATAAAAAGATGGCAAACAAGCAAAATTTGACAAATTTAACAATAATTTTTTTATGAGGACATCGCTGTATGGGAACAGCTGTTATACATATAGATATATGTATATATAAAAAAAAAACATACAGACGAATTGAGTACCTCCTTCTTTTGGGAAGTCGGTCAAAAAAGAAAAATTTATAAATGATTTAATTTTAGAAAATTTTCACAAACCTAACCTAATTTATATTTTATAACAGAATAATTTCAATCTAAAATTATTAGCAAATTGTTTAGCTACCCTCCGACCTAGTATAAAACTGTACAAAAGTTGCTATGCTAGAAGTTGTTACAGTACAAGCAAAATATACAGATGAAACATACCATAAAAATTTAAATTTTCAATGTTTAGTTGTTAAGTTAAAATAGTAGATTTAGTTATAGTATTACTTTATCTTAGGTGTACATTATATCATAACAAATAAATTTTTAGTACAATCATAGTCCATAGTAGAAAGGTATTCATTGTCACTTTTAAGTTAAATTTTGTACATTTATTTCAGGGAAAAAGTGCTGGGCAAAATATTACTGACTGTCGTCATTGGTGTGAGCCCGCGACCGCACGAGCAGCATCTCGCGCTGCACCAGGTACACGCGCGCCTTGTCCACCAGCTCCTGCTGGTTCTCCAGCCCCCGCGTCACCTCCTCCACCTCCTCCTTCAGCTTGTGCAGAATCTGTGAAAACATACAGACTTAAAAACCTCCGTTTGTAAGTCAGTTAAAAAGTGACGAGAAACCTAAAGGTGAAGTAAACAGCAAATTAAACTCAAATCGAAGAAAATTTTTCATCGAATTCAATGAAAACTAGCTTTCGCCCGACTCCGTCCGCGTGGGATTAAAAAAAAAAACAAATATATGTACCAAATTTCATCAAAATCCGTTCAGCAGCTTACGCTAAAAACTCTAACAAACATTTATCTAAACTTTCGCATTTACAATATTTTGTCAGATAGTTATAAAAGCTTCTAACCTGGTACAAAGAAGGTACATTTGGATGCAGCATGTATCCGGGACAAACAAGTAGTGATGACAATAACGGGGTGGGCAGCGACACCAATTTGGACAGCACGCTGGTGACGCGGCAGTTCACCGCCACCTCAGACTCCAGGAGAGCGGCCGCCTTCCGCAGAAGACTGCTTAACAATGGACCTACACAATGCATCATCATCAGCCTTTATCTGTCCCCTGTTGAACAAAGGCCATCCCCAAGAGGTCTTTCTGGTTTTGGTTTGGTTTGGTTCTGGTCTGGTCCGTTTCTGGTAAGTACCAGAATGCAGCCTTCACTGCATCCGAGTACACAATTTATGTATTAAATGAAAGTTCTGGATCCATATATGTGTTTAAGAAAAATTTAAGCAAAGTAAGTGGTACATTAAAACATGTCTATATATGCGTTTAAACAATTTAATACTGACTAGTGATTTCCCGCGAGTTTATCAGCACAGAATTAAATAAAACCACCTAAAAAAATCCAGCGTGCTTTCATCTATATTGCCGTCAATTCGATCAAAATTGGTTTATTCGTCACATTACAAAGGCAAACAGATAAAAAATAATAAAACTTGTTATGTTTACGATTTTTTCCAATAAAACATACACACTTCTATTTATACTTAAATTTTATAATAAACAATTAGTTTGATTCTTACCGATTATGGTTTCGGCACTAGCCCGCCAGCACCTGATAGAAGCATCAGAGTCATATTCTCTTCCGTTCCGTTCTTTACTGAAACTCTTCCTAAACGAGTCCTCGGCAAAAGATTCTCCATCTTCTTCTACTCTAAACTTAAAGCTATCATATCCACTACTTTCTCCATTGGACGTTAGACTATCACGGTCTTTGCTTTCAGTATTTTGATCAGATGGACTTTGTTGTCCATTTGTTTCCACGTTCTTCGGGCTTTCGGATTCTTCTAGAAGTGACGTCAGACTATGAGGCTCTTTGTCTGGCGTTCCGCTAGTTTTTAACGTATCGTATCCGCTAGTGCAGATAGAAATAAGGCTATCCTGCTCCTTCCCAGCGGTATTACCGTCTATCTCTTTCAGATCTTTGGAGTTATTGTTGGTTTCGCGTTTAGGTGAAGATATCGTGTCGTACTTTGAGCTCCAGTTTGTGCACGCGATAGTTCGCGATACGATTTCGAAGCGAGCGTGGCAGAGGTATGCGTGAAAATTACCGTATAGTGTTTCGTTTGGATTCTAAAATTAAAATTTTTAATGTATTTCTTACTAGTTGTTGCTCGTAAAAATATAGCCTATGTTATTCAAAGATAGCTTCAAAGAAAGCTTTCTAACAGTGAAAGAATTTTTAAAATCGGCCAAATAGTTTTTGAGTTATTTCAATACATACAAAAATATAAAATTACAAATCTTTCCTCTTTATAATAATAGTATAGAAGTGTAGATATAGACTAGCTGTTGCTCGCGGCTACGTTCACGTTACAATTAAAACTATATGTTACTCGGCAATAACGTAGCTTTCTAATGGTGAAGGAATTTTTGAAATTGGCCCAGTAGTTTTTGAGTTATTTCAATTACTTAAATCCAGCAATCTCAACAGTGGTAGTGCCCGCTTTAACATGTTAGCAGTGCAGGGCACGCCTCCAGTAATACCACGACCACACAGAAGACAGGCGCGAAATGGAACCAATGCCGTGTTTCGTCTGATGAGTGTGGTGCCGGAGGCCTAATTTAAGTCCCTTTCTCTTTACCACCCTTTTTTCTTATAAGGAGAGGTTGGGAAGAGGAAGTGCATTTGACGGTGGAGGAGATGCATAGGATGGGAAAGATCCTCTTTATGTGCGTCTCCTTCTCCGTCTTATAAGGGTAGGCAACGCATCTGCAATTGCGGATGTCTATGGGCAGCGGTCGCTTCGCCATTTCGGCGGTTTTAGGTGGCCGCTTGCTCGTTTGCCACCTTATGTTATAAAAAAAAAATCCAAAATACAATTTTTTCCTCTTCCTGATATTAGCATAGATTAATTGTTACGTCTGTGAATCAAACATATAAGATTGGTTATTTAAAAAAAAAACTTACCCCATAATCAAAATTAACTTCTTGGACTAGACTATTCATTGCTATATCACCATGAACTCCATTAATCCTTTCATCATCTTCTTTCCTGAAGTCCAGTACTCTTTTACCAGTCAGTGCAAGCTCGTTGACCCAAGCCCTGGTCTTCTCTAATGGTCTCATACAGCATTTGGGGGTAAGATTTAAAAACGCTGCCGCCGCGTCCATATAAAGTGTGGGATCGGCAATTCTATGTTTATACGTGGCTATAAGATGATTGCCGTTTAGTAGGTACTTGTATATTAGTTCTAATATCACATCCTCGCAGTTTAAATCTATAAGTGTCTCTATTAATGATAGAGTTATTAGAGACAGCTGGAATAAAAAGACAAGAAATTGTTTAAGACTAGCTTTCACCCTCGACTCCGTCCGCGTGAGTAAAAAGTAAGTAGTCATGTGTTCTTCCAGACTATCATCTACATCTATACTTAATTTCACAGATCTCCGTTCTGCCGTTTAAGTTACGATAACAATTGAACGTGAAAAACAGGTAATGGATATATCGGATTTTGTTCCCTTATCTGACAGTGATGTCATTTTTATGCTATCTGAGCCTCTATCAGCCAGTAGTGGGACAGGTCCTTGATTCTTTATTCCACGCGAACGGAGTCTTAGGCGAAAGTTAGTATATAAATCTGCTAGATGTTCCAGTGCGGCTTCATCCGCAAATGTCAAAATTCAAATGCACAAATGACAATTGCTTCCTTGATGGCAGCAATTTATGGTCTCTTTCGCACATTAGGATTTTTATCCAAAATATTTACCCCCTAAGTTTAATGGCGTGAAAACATATAGTCTAAAGCGTGACGTAATTGTAGGGTTTTTTATTAAAAAAAAGTATTATTCAAAAATATGCTGAATTGCCAACATCTTAGGCGACAAAGAAGTGTGTGTTTACGGTTAATTATAATAGTATAGATAATATATTGTCTTACTTGTGAATTCCCCTCCAGTCTCGTGAGCAGCACATCGATGAGAGTGACACCATCGTACTGGTAGAGGAATATGAAGCGCAGCACCGCGCGCAGCAGGCCGCCCGGCGTGGCGCTGCGCAGCGCCAGCTCGAGGTAGGCCAGCGCGGCCGCGCGCTCGCCCGCTCCGCTCTGCAAGTCCGCTCGACTCTACGGTACCGTTGGGTTAGTTCCGTGCGTATTGGAATATCGACCCTAACTCTTTGGATTAAGACACAATTTTGAATTTGAATTGCATTGAATATACGACGCAAGCTTAATATGAATTCTATGGGTTTGTTTTAAGATTCAATTTTGAATTGAAATTGATATATGACGCAAATTTGCCTAAAATTAAATTAATTCTATGAATTGCTTTTAAAATTCAATTTTGAATTATCTTTCAATTGAAAATTATTTTACAACGCAAATTATTAAATTATGTAATTTTTTTACTAAAACTAGTTTTATTGTCGGTTAATGTAATCTGAACTTTAAACGATTGGTATAAGATGTAAAATTGACTATTTCTTGTCTGTAAATCTTGTAATTTCTGTTATTATTACTTAAAATGCATTGCATGTGCCAATTGTCTTTCATATTTGCTTTTAAATGATAAAATAACGTCGTATAAGAAAAAATTTAGCAAGCCATGGACCACACCAATGTGCTTCTCCAATACCCCCGGTGCAAGCCCGATGTAAACCGAATCAAACCACACGCATGAAACCAACTTATAAAATACTTTTGTACATATTATAACTTAAGTCAACCAAATAAACCATACTTATATTATAATAGGGAAAGTTTAGATGGATGTTTGTTACAGTTCGTAGTTTAAACCTCTGAACGGATTTCGATGAAATTTGGTATAGATGTAGAGGATAGACTGGAAGAACACATAGGCAACTTTTATGCGAATGGAGTCGCGGGCAATAACTAGTATTGAATACTAAAAAAGTATTGCTTTGGTCAAAGATCAAAAAAGTAACAGAATGGTAATTCTACATTTGTATACCAATTTGATAAGTAAATAAAAATGTACAAAAGTATATTATATAACACAATAATTACATTTATATAGTAGAAAATATATATGTAAAAATAATATATTCAATACCTTGATGAAGACTGTAAATAGAAATATACATAAATATATAATGATTAGTTATTTTTCTAAACAAACTTTGATTTTTTTTCAATTGGCATATCGTAAAGTTAGTATTTATAAAATATAAAGACAGCAATTTTATTATAATAAAAATCATTCAAACTGCGATATGAAAATTATCAAAACATACAAAATGTTGCAAAATTTCAATCAAAAACAATTAATTTCGTAGACAGTCAAATGAGAAAGCAATGATGTCCAAAAAACCTGCAATACAGAAATAACATGAAAAACATAGCATTTGTTAATGAAACACGCAAACCACACGCAGATATACATACATTAATACTTATAAGTTTGAAATCTTTACATATATGTTATTTATTTACTAGCTGTGTCTCGCGGCTTCGTCCACGTGGAATTAAAAAAATAAATAATTTATGTGACCTATGTTATTCAGTGATGACGTAGCTTATTAATGGTGAAAGAATTTTATTAAAACTATTGAAATGAAAAGTTTTTGAGTTATTTCAATAGATACAAAAATACAAATTTTTCTTTAAAATATCAAAGTATAGACATAGTTATAAAATAAATAGTAGTCTAGTAATTTCGCTGGTTGCATTGCGATTTTATTTCACCATAAGAATGTAGAATAAATGTGTATAAAAAATTCAGAATTCTAAAAACACATTGATACATGGCGGAATTCGAACCCAGATACTGCAGTACAAGAGCTTAACCCCTGAGCCACCAACACCCTTAAGAAACATTTAATAATTATTTAGAAGTTACTTATATTGTAAATATTAAAGTCTAGATGGATGTTTGTTAAAATTTGTAGCCTAAACGACTGAACAGATCTCGTTAAATTAGGTAATGAAGATGATATTTTGGAAAAAATTAGCTAATTTCTTTTGTTATTTCAATTACACAGACGAAGTCGAAGGCAAAAACTAGTCTAGGAAATATTTAAAACTGGATTAATCATTTATTTACAATAATGGATGTACATCTGTGACAAATAGCATCAAACCGTTACCCGTTACCTGAAGATAGAGTTACCTGTAGCAGCGCGGGGCCCATCACCGGCACCAGGAAACCCTGATGAAGGAGGTCCAGGAGTTCCTTCTTTATTGAGGGATGAGCGACCTGAATAACAAACTTTACATAGAACTATACATAAAAGTCCCAATTTTACCTGGAAATATGTCTCATACCTTTCCCGTTAATGTAAAATATAGCGTACTAGTGTTCGCTCGCGATTCCGTCTGCGTTGAATTCAAAATATGTACCCTATGTGCTTTAGACTATGCATTACATCTATGCCTAATTTTATCGATATCCATTCAGTAGTTTAGATTAAACTTTACAAACATCCATCCATCTAAACTTTCGCATTTATATTAGTAAGATTACTAAAATATTATGTATCATTAAATGGTAGTAGAATTTTTAAAATCTATTGAGTAGTTTTAAAAATCAAGACAAGTAATCAAATATTTCCTCATTAGAATCTTACTGCTTTCTTATTTTACTAATATTATAAATGCGGAATTTTAGATGGATGATTGTTAGAGTTTGTAGCCTAAACATCTGAATTCAATGAAAATTGGCAAATATAGAGGATAGTTTGGAAGAACATATAATCTCATCATCTTCCTCCTTATCCTACTCCCGTAGGGTCGACGCAAAAGGTTTTTGTCCTCCACATATCTCTCTCTCTCTCTCTCTCTTACGTCATCTTAGTCATCATTCCCTTTTTGATCATGTCACCTTTCACACAATACATCCATCTCTTTCTAGGTAGTCCTATCTATCTCTAACTAACGTTTTCCTTGATAGTCTCTCTTTTGTTTTTATTTTAAATCCAAGCGGACGGAATCGAGGGCAGTAAATATATTGCAATAAAAATTAATGATTGGATTTTTTGAATGTTTTCTCCATTGAGAAAAATCTTACAGAAGACCCTGTCTGATCTTATTGCCACATAAGTGTCCCGTTTTATGATTTTATGGCCACATTTGGGTAAGACTTCACCTGATTCCCATCTTTCCTCTCATTTGCTTATAGTTTTAAAGACTGCAGATAAAAAAATGATATTTACTTCAGCGACCGCGTTGCAGAAGTCGAGGGAGTCAATGAAGAGTGTCAGTTTGTGCAGGTGGCCGAGGTCGTCGGGCGTGAGGCGGTCCGCGCCGTGCAGCGCGCGCGGCAGCAGCGAGTACAGACCGCTTAGACCTAAACAATCAAATTATCCGACTCAAAGGACCAACTAAATCTATTTATTGTAGACTAGCAAGTCCCATGCAGCTTCATCCGCATGTAATTATGAAAATTTTATTTAATTGCTTACATTTCGTTCAAATTATCAGTTACAAATGTCAAAATGACATGACATGATGACAACATTGCTTCTTTGATGTTGGCAGCAACTTATGGTCTCTTTCTCACTTTAAGGATTTTATCCAAAATATTTACCACTTAAGTTTCGGCGTTGAAATATATAGCCTAAAGCGTGACGCAAGTGTACGGCTCTTTATTAAAAAGAGAATTATTCAAAAATATGCTGTAATTTCTGACATACGGTTTATTTATCTATTTAGATAGATAGATTTAAGGTTTGATTTAAAAAAAAAAATTGATACTGGCTGTAATATTAGGTGTGTCAAATGTAAAAGTAAAAGAAAACTGTAAAATATTAAAACAATAAATAAAGTCTTTTAATGTTTACGACACTATCATTTATATGTATTTATATAAAGCCATGCGCGTTCAAAACCTTAAGGTTGAAGAATCTGGATTCCAATATTAGAATAGAAAACAAGATGGGTAAATTAAAATCTAGCTATTTTTTTTCTCAATAATATTATAATCTAAAAGTGACTGGATTAGGTAAATGATGTAAATCATTTATATGACAACACAATAAAACGTAATATTCCAGTACAAGACAGTAGACTGGTTCTAGTTAATGTTTTATGCCAGTTAAAATCCGCGCTGATTTTGAGCGCTACTGGTGTAAATGCAATTTTCCCATTACTCTTATTTACATTTATGTACTATTAAAGTACCATATGCTGCTATACTTAAAAATAAACAAGAATTAGATGAAAAGGTGTTATTTTCGTGTCTTAAATGTTATTTTTGGTGTAATTACCTGTCGCAAGCACTGGACATGTATTCCCCGCCAGCATGCAGTGCGCCAGGGGCGGACAGCGCGCCGACATCTTCGCACAGAGAAGTAAGGCGTCCCTTGATGCCGACCCTGTCGACCCCTCGCGGTGCACCGTCGATAGGAGAAGTCGGCCGATTATGAACCTGCAATACGAAGATAATACAATTTAGATAATAATTAGGTTACGCACACGACTTCATCCCCTTAAAATTGAGAAATAGTAAGAAAGATAGCTTACGTAAAAGAATTTTTCAAATTAGTTAAGTAGTTTTTGAGTTATTTTAATACATACAAAAAAAAACAAATCCCTACTTGTTATAATATTAGTGTAAATAAAAGAAACGAATAAAGAAGTTAGTATTTATCTATATCAAAGCGAGATTCAACAGATTTTTTATGAAAAATTATCTTAAAAATAATTAACAAAATCCGTAAATCTATGTTAAAATGTGAATTACATATTTGTTTGTTACTCACTCTGCTTGTGATCCATTCTGAGTGTGCGTCATGAGGAAAAATAAATCTATAAACTTCATATTCTGCATCAAAACAACACATAGTTGATTGAGAACTGACACCAACTGACCTGAAACAGGGATATTTCAAAACATATAATAATAATATTTTCTCATTTTTCACTCTTTTTATATACAACTGGCAGATGCTCGCGACTTTGTCCGCGTAGAATTTAAAAAGTAGTATAATAAGTGTGATTACGTAGATGTTTAATGGTACAAGATTTTTTAAAATAGGCCCCGTAGTTTTTGAGTTATTACAATACATACAAAAATACAAATCTTTCCTCTTTTTAGTACAGATTATTTATGGTAATCTAAATAATACAAAGCCAAACATTTATATTTTACACAACACAAATATATGAAGTTAGTAAAAACATAAAAAAACATAAAAAAAACTCACTTTCAAGATTTTTCGGTGGTAAATCGTTTCTAAATCCGCTTAAAAGTTTAAGAAGCGGTCGAAGGAAGGGCTCCGCGGCTATCACCTGAAAAATAGAATTCAACAAAAATCTATTACTCTATACTAAATTAATAAAACGTAAACACACACTACTTTGTGGCGTAGGATGTCAGCAATCACAGCATATTTTGGAATAATTCTTCCTTTAATAAAAAGCTCTACACTTACGACACACTTTAGGCTATATATTTTCACGCTGTTAAACTTAGGAGGTAAATATATTAGAAAAAACCTTCATGTGGGAAAGGAACCATAAACTAAAAGCTGTCAACATTAAAGAATCAATGTTATGATGGTAACTTTGACATTTGCAATTGAGAATTTGACAAATGTAAACAATAAAATAAAGTTTTTATAATTTACTGCGGATGAAACCGCATGGGAATAAGATATTTGTAAAGTAAAAGGTAAATGAAGAGGAATATTTATTACCTGAGAACCATAATGGCTGACGAGATTCCCAAACAATTTTAGTTGTTCTAAACGCACTGCGTTTTCATACCTGCAACGAGATAAACAAGCATTTATTAAAATGTCTCTTTTATATCGTCTCATATAGTATTGGAATTTTGTTGTACATCAGTTTACCTTTTAATTTTATTAGCATGCTGTAGTATTTTTATTACAAATTTCTAAACAATAGGCAAAGAAAAAGTTTGCAAGATCTTGACTAATATTTCAATGGCAAGATACATACTCTATGGATAAGGTCAAAGATCCGAGGCTCTTAAAATACTACCTCATGGAACATCCTCATGAATAAACATTACTACTGACTATAAAGTCAAGATGTTGGAAATAGAATTGTATTACTGAGGTAAGCAATCATTGACAACCAAAGAGATTCAAAAATTTACAGAGGGAGCAAAGTTGACACTTCATTTGAAACATTTTTTAACTCTCACTAGCGCTACCTGGTGTCCGATAATCAAAATCAAAAACAATTTAAACGTTGAGGCGTCTTGGCATGTAAAATTTGACATTGAGATATTACCGTAAAAAGAAGTTACCGGTCAAAAAATGTTGTTCCCTATGTCCAGTCTATATTTTTTAAATGTCTTTGTTGACACAAAGAGCGCTATGTAAACATTGAAAAAATGTTATAAACATCATACAAATGGTCATGACCAATTGAACGATGACTTCATGAGTCAACATTTATTACTGTCCTTAGTTACCCATACAAGCAATTATATTTGCATTGTACCTATGTTACTAATCTTACTTTTTACTAATATTATAAATATGTAAGTTTAGATGGACGGATGGATGGATGTTAGAGTTTGTAGCTTAAACGGTTGAACGGATTTCAATTAAATTTGGCATAGATTTATATAGAGGATAGTCTGGAAGAACACATAGGCTATTCACTTTTGTTTTTTTTTTTCAATTCCACGCGGACGGAGTCGCAGGCGAAATCTAGTACTATAATAAAGAAAAGTTTGTACTTTTGTATGAAAAAAAGTAAACTTAGAAACCACTGGGTCGATTAACAAATTCTTTTAAAATATTAAAATACTTCATTATCCTTGATTAACATAGGCTGCATAGGCATTGCCAGCCGTTAGATTATTGGCAGGGGGGAGGTTCCCTTATCTGCTACCTGCACCTAACATTAGAATGATCATGTTCGATGTGGGTTTTTTATCTATTTTACATTTTTCTATTCTCTAGGGGCCTTCCTGCATACCCCTGACGACGTTGAAGATAGGTTGCATTTAAATAAGTTCAAAATAAACAATAGATATTAATTTGACCTTTTTAACGGATTTTGTATTTCATGTAAACAATACAAAAATGTGTAATCATACAAAACAAGATGTTTGTGCGAAAAATGCACGTCAATTCTGTATTGGAATGACAAACATTGTACGGATGGAATTTGGCGATGTGCCATCTTAAGCTATTGAAAATTGGCAACTATTTTAACAGTTTTTCGGTGCTTAATTTAAAACATACATATGTTATCTGTGTTTTTATACAGGCCATCAATAGAACATGTTAAAAAACAATATTTATTAATCAATTTACATTAACAACATAATAGATATAGAATTTTATACACGCCTCGATAAATACAAATACAAACACAAATATTTTATTGGTAACCGAATTATAAGTCATAATTTAAAAAAATAAAAATCTTTACAGATATTAAAAATGAATGAATAAAAATTGCGTACATAAAACAATCATGGAAGCAAAAAATCTTCGAAACTATAGAAGGCTTTTTGTATTAGGCATGACTTAAGTTTATTTTTAAATGACGCGAGGCTGGTAGCCGCTGTGACGTGGTCCGGCAGGCGGTATTTTGCCGAGTATTGGATCAACATCGTTAATTAGACATCGTATCATATGAGATATAAATTCTCTTACACATATCTGGGTCACATTACTGGGTTACCAACACCGAAAATACCAGTGAAATTGCCTAATAACTTAGTATATTATTTGTATTGTCTAGCAGCTTGTTTTTTACTTTGTGCTAATAGAAGCGATAACGTTAAATGTTGACGCATTTATATATACTTCTATTCTTTCTATACTATTATAACAAAGCGTAAACACACACTTCTTTGTTGCCTAAGAACTCAGCAATTACAACATATTTTGAAAAACTCTTTTTTAATAAAAAGCCCTACACTTACGTCACTCTTTACGCTATATATTTTTACGCTATTAAACTTAGGGGGCAAACATTTTGTATAAAAACCCTAATGTGGGAAAGAGACCATAAGTTGCTGCCAACATCAAGGAAACGAGACTGTCCAGGTCTGTCATGTCATGTCATTTTGCCATTTGTTATTGATAATTTGTCAAATCTAAACAATAAAATAATCACAATTTCATGCGAATGAAACCAAACGGGAACAGCTAGTTTAGTATATTATATGTATTGTCTAGCAGCTTGTTTTTACCTTTGTGCTAATAAAAGCGATAACGTTTACGGTGACGCATTTATTGCAAATAACGATAACAGTATTTGTTCTCATTCTCGTTATCGGACAGGAGTTAATTATAATTCTAGAAAATTAATAAGGGAATGCTACTGATAATTGTTAATATCTAAATTGCCATTGATAATATAATATTATATAAATTTTTTGTAAATAAACGTTACAGGCGTGAAGTGGAAGCAATTTCGCGTTACGTCTGATGCCGGAGGCCTAATTTTAGTCCCTTTCCCTTCCCATGCTTTTAAGAGGAAAGGCTGGGAAGGAAAAGTTGATTTGACTGTGGATGAGACGTATAGGAAAGGGAAATGTTCTCTTTATGTGCGTCTCCTCCGTCAATTAAGCGTAGGCAACGCATTTGCAATTGCGGATGTTTATGGGCAGCGGTCGCTTTCCATTTCGGTGGATTCATACCGGGTCACTTCTCCATATTAAATTATAACAAAGAACATATTTTATAATTGAATCCTATTTATTATAAATGAGAAAGTTTAGATCAGGATTCCCAATCTTTTACTCGAGAACCCTTTTCAACGTCTTGATGGTTTCAATAGACCACGATTTTTGCAACTCAACTACTTTGGGAATTACTCCTTTGGATAGATGTCTGTTTTAAGATATAGAAAAAGGCTTACTAATTTTTTTTCCGCTCAGAGTCTAAGTAAACAATTTATACGTTTATATTTTCAAACCATTGCAATTATGGTATATCGTGTATAGACATTTATATTGTCGTGTTAGCACTTATAATGTATTTAGTACTTTTCAACTGCTATCGATGGTATGAATCATACGGGAAACGGAAATGTGTTTGAAGACTTAATTAGTACATGTAAGTTTATATGCGTGTAAATTGCATTAATAATTCAAATTCTATATACCTATACTAATATTATAATGAGGAAAGATTTGTATTTTTGTATGTATTGAAATAACTCAAAAACTACTGAGGCGATTTTAAAATATTCTTTTACCATTAAAACGATAAGATATTACTGTATCATAGGGTATATTTTTTTATTCCACGCGGACGAAGTCGCGAACAACAACTAGTTTTATATACACTAGCGTTGTTAATATTAATAAAGGAACGATTAACATTTAAAATTATGTTATTACATATATTAATTTTACTTTCCATGATGTCATCAAAAATAAAGTAAGCTTGTCCAATTAAGCTTTAAGTTATTTATAACTAGCTTTCGCTCGAGACTTCGTCCGCGTGGTATGAAAAAACAAAAGTAAGTAGCCTATGTGTTCTTCCAGACTATGCTCTAAATCTGTGCCAAATTTCATCCAAATCCCTTTAGCCGTTTATGCTACAAACTCTAACAAACAAACATCCATCCATCTAAACTTTCGCATTCATAATATTAGTAAGAAATATGATTAGTAACGTTGTTTTAATGTAGTAATAATTGCTTTTTCATGTCGCGTTTAATACGGTAGCTACTATGTGGTTAAATATATTTGATAAGATTTAAACCTTTCATAACAAAATAACACAAATAAAAAAAACATACAGACGAATTGAGAACCTCCTTCTTTTGGGAAGACGATCAATTAACAAGAATTAATTTAATATAGTTAATTTAGTGTTTAACTACCTCATGCCCGTGACTGCGTCCGCAGGACGTATAAAAAATTGTAGGTAAGTAGCATATGTGTTCTTCCAGACCACTATAAAATTAAACGATAATTTTTAAGCTGTTTATAAATTGTGTAGTAACCAATATCTATCCATCCAAACTTTCGCATCATTACCGTGATTATTATTCACAATCTACTAAGTGAGGAAGTGCAACAGTAATCTGTCTATTAATAGATAAAAACCTTGATTATAAGATGAAACTTAAGTCTTTCCACAACACTAGATCGACCTTCGTCTAAAGGTCAGGGTCTGTACATCCTAATGAATATCACAGAATACCAATGTAAGTTTACGAGGAACCAAATTAATTCGTTAAATTTTCCTTACAAATAAGGAAAAGTTTAAACGTTTTTAATACTGAAAATACCAAGTTATGAAAACAAGTTTCTTCTAACTTTTTTTTTATAATTCAAGGTGGCAAATGAGCAAGCTGCCACCTGAATCCACCGAAATGGAAAGTGACCACTGTCCATATCTACAATTGCAGATGCGTTGCCTACCTTTCATTAACGGAGGAGGAGACGCTTAGGAAGAGAAAATGTCCTTTCTCTTCCTAAGCGTCTCCTCCACCGTCAAATTCACTTTTCCTTAACATCCCATCCTCTTAAGAACAGGGTGGAAATGGGAAGGGACTAAATTAGGTTGCTTAATGTTTTCTTTACCAATAATTTATTAAGGCAGTAGCAAAGCATACAATACATACTTCCGAATAATGAAACATTTTTTTTAAATAAATAATACTTTTTTGCCACATATAAAACTACATATGAAATCTAATACACAACAATCTCAGAGCTACTAAAAGTAAAAAAAGAATGTGGCAAAAGGTGGCAAACTTAGATAATGCAGAGACGGCGTAGTTTCTTGGGTTAAAATAAAGTTTAACAGCCTTACAAATAAACGCGGTATAAAGTTAAAATTAGGAATAAACTGAGTATAAACGAAACTGAGTATAGTACAAATTTTTCTTTTATATCACCCTTTTTCTACTATGTGAAATTTTGCCATCTCCATTGACGCGGCCGTTATTTCTATACAAAGCAACAGCTAAGTGCTAAAAGCATCATAATCAGTACAAATGGTGTATACGAATATTGTTAAAAAAAAACTAGCAATCACTTACTTGCCAGTACATATAGCCCATTCGTACAGTTTATCAAGCAAGTTCTCACTAAGCAGATACTCAAGGCAGGCTGCGGGATGCGTGTTGGGTGTGAACTGTCGGGCCCTCGCCTCCAGCACCAGTAGCGTCGTCAGCTGTTCCAAATGGTTCACCACTCCTAGTACATCGTCATGTAGATGTTGCGGCTGCACAAACAAATACATTTCTATCAACCATTATATTTGAATCCACTACCTTCTTAAGCATATCCTCTTTCATACAATCAATCCATACTTTCTTCGATCTACCTCTGCCTTTTTAGCTACACCAATCCTAACTCTTTCTGCTTCATCCTCTAATTGCTTAACATGTCCATACCACACTAAACTTTTGCATTAAATTCAGTGCTTATAAATATAAAAAAATACTTGCTTATGCGAGTTTTATTACCTGTGACTTGAGTATGATGTCATATGCCTGCTGCCAATGCTTGCAGAAAGAGTTATAGCATGCATTTGGCTCATAGTCATGCCGGGGGTCCAAAGTTCTGGACAGCTGCCGAGCAAATGACAGTGACGTCGTCCGTAACCAACTCATCTTGATCTCAGATCATTTCACCATCTGGAATTTAATTACAGGGGATATAAATCGTAATATAAACCTTCCAGTAAAATATTATAAGATTCAAACTTCCAGAAAACTGGATATTTTAACATTACTGTAGGTGATGTGCAAAGAGGCACTATAAATAGTAACTTCATAACATAAATAGCTACAAATTAAAATATATGTTAATATTCAATAAACATTTTCCTGGTATTCTTACTAATTTAATAAATGCGAAAGTTTACATGGATGGATGGATGTTTGTTAGAGCTTGTAGCCTAAACGGCTGAACAGATCTCATTGAAATTTGTCACAAACATAGAGGATACTCTGGAAGAACACAGATGCTACTCACTTTTGGTTTTTTTAAATACCATGCAGACGGAGTTGCATGCATAAGTTAGTTCTAAATATAGTATTGAAATAAATACAAGCTACAAACTATAAACTAAATAACAAGATAATAGTTTTATTACACATCTAAAACCAGTTACAGTTTCCTGTTCCGCGCTACTTATTGTCTGTTCTATATTATTTACATTTATTTTGTTTTAATGGCACCAAAAAAAAATAAGAAATGCTTAAAAACATGGGATGTTGAATATGTTATTTAGTAAGTTCTATTAATAAAATATCCTGCCAGGGACTGATCAATGAGAAGACGGACAATACTGTTGCAGTTGAAATGAAAACTCTTTTACAAAAAAGAAAAAAAAACTTTACACTTGTAAAGTGATGTGTCATAAAGTCTGTCGTGAAGTATAAAATTAAATAAACTGTGTTATATATCTCTGCTATCAATATTATAATTATATTAGATACAAGTTATTTAGAGAATGAAAACTCAGAGCTCCAACCCTATGGGAGTGGGATAAGATAGGTACAACTTGTCAAAATAAATAATAAAACAATTAAATATATAAATATAATTCCTGGCATCGTCAGTATGTAATACTTTTACTATTGACATTGTACATAAACTTTATTGCAAGCCTTAGAATATACGTGAGAAAAGTAAGACAATGACTCAATGTTGGTGAAACTGCATTCAAATCAGTTGTGCAACATCAAACTAGTACTACTAGTAAATTATGGCATAATTCATCATAAAATTAGGATTAGGATGGTTAAAAAGTAGAGACATTATTGAAGCGCTCAAAACACTAAAGTACGTTATTGTTATACTGATTAATAATGAACCTTGACATTCGTAGTACCATTTCTTGCTAAACTAGTTAGAAAACAAAAACAATACTTAAAAAACTACGCTTAAAACATATTTAATGAAGCAAAATACAAATGCATACGTTCAGGAAGTTTCTTGAGTCGAAAATAGATACAGCAGGCCACAAAATAAACCACTAAGGTTACATGATACGCAATACTTTGGAGACAATTATGTCACCCGCTACTTTAAAAAGCCTTCATCGAAACACTTTTTAACTTTTGCCACTGAATAAGTATCACTGTTATTGATTTTTTTATAAAATTTAATTTATCGAGTAGGAACCATTGAAAAACTATTAAGTTTTGCATAAAAAATGCAAAACAACCACGCACGACAAACTTGACAAATGACATAAAGTATTATTATTTATCTATGGACCTGATCAAAGACCGTATAAAATCAAAATGCCAACCATAGATAAAATATATATCCTGAGACAACCAAAGAGTTTATAAATATTTTTATTTTACAGAAAAAGTAAGAACTCTCAAACGATCTTTCTTTTCTCTGAATCAGTCTCCAATGATTCTCTATTTAAGAAAAATCTGAATCGTCTGCATCCGTTATTTCCTCATCTAAAAACGTATGTTGCTTTATCTTTCTTTAAATTAACGTTTACTTGATTTTCTTACTATTACGGATAGTTTTTGGTAGCATCTTATTGATCCAAATATCTATACGAAACCATTTTAAAGTGTACCTCTTATCCCATTGTCTCCCGTTTAATATCAAATGGTCACCTTATTCTCATTTCAAAAAAGACTTGTATTTACCCTTTGGTGTAGTTAACAATTTTATATATAATCTGTATAATTTTTTCTTTCAGAAATTCAATTATCTACTTGGGAGTGTACGCGTGTGATTTCATTATTTCATGTAAATAGATATAGTATTCCAAGTGATTTTAAAAGAATTCCAGGTTTTTCTCCTATAACCATTATTTCTAAAAAAATCACAACGAGTTCCAAATTGGAACAGTTGTATAATGCAAGAGAAAATTATGTTAAAGAATTGGAGGGTGCATTTCATAAAATCATGAACAATAATATGAGTGCGCAGCAAAGCCCGGCTCAAACAAGTATGCAAGCGGCAGTCGATAGAGAAAAAGTGTACACCTGGATTTTAGAACTATGTAACCCCGAAAGTCGAGAAAATGCTCTATTAGAGCTAAGTAAGAAACGGGAGGTCGTACAGGATTTAGCTCCTATGTTGTGGCATAGTTTTGGAACTATTGCTGCATTATTACAAGAAATCACCAATATTTATGTTGCTATGATACCTCCTACCCTTACCGCCCATCAAAGCAATCGTGTATGTAACGCTTTAGCTCTCATGCAATGTGTAGCTTCTCACCCCGAAACCAGGTCTGCTTTTTTGCAAGCGCACGTACCGCTGTTCCTGTACCCTTTTCTTCACACTGTATCCAAAACTCGCCCTTTTGAATATCTCCGCTTGACCAGTCTAGGTGTCATAGGTGCCTTAGTAAAGACCGATGAACAAGAAGTTATAACATTTCTGTTGACAACAGAAATCATTCCACTCTGTCTCCGCATCATGGAAAATGGCTCAGAACTATCTAAAACTGTGGCCACATTTATACTACAGAAAATCTTGTTAGATGACAGCGGCCTATGCTATATATGCCAAACATATGATAGATTCTCCCATGTAGCGATGATACTTGGTAAAATGGTGCTGTCTTTAGCAAAGGAGCCATCAGCACGTCTGCTGAAACATGTTGTCCGCTGTTATCTACGTTTGTCTGACAACCCTCGAGCCAGGGAGGCTCTGAGACAATGTCTTCCAGATCAGCTCCGTGATGCAACATTCACAACTTGTCTTCAAGAGGATAATTCCACTAAGCATTGGTTGGCACAGCTGATAAAAAATTTGGAAGTACCTCCACAGCCTACAAGCCCTGCGCAGCCAAACATGTGAGCATCATATAAGGAAATCATATTTGTGAATTATGTTGCTTTAGTTCTTTATTTTGAAATCTATCATTTTATCAAATTTAATTATATTTAAAAAAAATGTTGTCACAACTTATTTTGTATTTTTTGCTTATCAATTGAGTTTTTTTTTATTTTATTGCATAAATGTTATAATTTGATGCATTCATATTCTTGCTTAATGAATTCATAATTTGTTAAAGGGATATTTTCTAAAAATGTATTATTTCTTTTAGGTACAAAACCAGATGAACCACTAATTTTGTACGCAGGTGTAGTGGAATGGATTAGAAATACACTTTTACAACTTTTTTGTACTATTGTTTTATTTTCTCAACTTTACAATTTTTTTTTATATAAAAATTACACATTTTACACAAAGTTTGAAAGACAACACAATAAACAAAGAAAAATTTTGAAACAAGATACCATTTAGTCCAATAAGACTACTTTAATAAATATTTTTTTTAATCATTTGAATTTGTAAAGAGAAATAGATTATTAAAAATCAGGTCCTCTTTTTGGATATTTAGACAAAGCCCAACGCCTTGCACTATAACTGTCAATATAAATAGGCCTGTTACTTCTGCTTGTCCCAGGTTTTTGATTATTGAAATGTGATCTTGAGCTGTGAGTGCGTTTATCCTCTAAAGATTCAGTAACATCAAAGAATTGTGTACTCCGTGTTATGCATGACTCTGTTGCGGAACAATAATAGAATGATTTATCAGCTTGAAATATTTGAATTTGTGATGTCTGGACATCTTTCACATCATTAATTGGTTTCATTGATTGACCACAAATACATGTAGATCTTTTCCTTATATTAGTCATACACTCAACATTAGAAGTTAAAGGTCCAGAGATGATTGTATTAATAGCTTTATCAATAAAAACTTTATCGTAAACTGTTTTTCGAGATTTGAATTTGGTAACGACAACAGCAGATTTGCCTTTGGGTATAATGTTGTTTACTACTCTCCTTTTTTCAATTAGAATAGATCTAGTTGGATTTTCATTATGGGTTTTTGTACTGTCTGCGTAATTTGAAGATGCGGACGATTGATCTAAAACTGGATTTACTATATCACCACATAGCTTTTCGGCTATACTAGACATTAATATTTGTTTTTGTAATACTCTAATACTATCCCAACTCCTTTGTCTTTAATTGCTTTCTTGTAAAACATTCTACAAGTAATTAATGTAATTAAAATGTTTTTATCATTTTCTTAAGTGAATATTGCAGAGATTCTTGAATGTAAATGTTTTGTTACTTTCTTATATTTAAATTAAACAATTTCGTTTTTATTTATTTATTTATGACATTTGTTATAGAACATTTCTAATTGTCTCTGGAAAAGTTATCTGTTTTCACAATATTTTTATCAGCCTTACAAGTAGGTACCGTTTTATCATAATTTAACACTTGATTGTTTACATATCTTTAATTTAGCTTGATTTTAAGCATTTTAAATAGGTAAATATTAGAAAAAATCCAGAGTTCCAAATATTCAACAATGAAACCAAAATACCATAAATAAAACATTAATGGTGGAATAAATCTAATTGTCTACATGTCAAAGTCATTGTCAAAATCATTCATGACACATCAGCTATAAACACCAAAATGGAAAAATTTGCTATTAAATAATTAAATTAAACTCATTTCTGAATGTCTACTATCAACAATGGCATATAGTTTAAAAAACTATATACCGACAAGTAAATAAATAAAACATAGAAGTGTATAAATGTATATTTATCTAAATTCATAATGTGGGTTTATGGATATGGGTCTTTAGTTTGGAAAGTAGATTTCGACTATGAATATAAACTTGTAGGTTATATAAAAGGTTACCTGAGAAGATTCTACCAGCATAGTATTGACCATAGAGGAATACCCGAAAAGGTGAGATAGTTGATTTTTAACTTATTGTATTTTTTTTCTCTAATTTTCTGATCTGATGCAATAATCTACTCGCTTTCTGTTTATTTATTATTAATTTACAAGAAAACTATTTTCCGAAACTACAGACCTAAAAAATTACACCTCTACTTTTTTTTTAATTCAAGAACAATTGTGATTTTCAGCCAGGAAGAGTAGTGACATTAATACCAAGTGAAGATCCAAACAGCACAGTGTGGGGAGTAGCATACAAAATTAGACCTCAAGATATTGATAGTGTAACAAAACATCTAGATTTTAGAGAGAAAAATGGATATTCTAAGAAAACTGTCACATTCCACCCGAAAAACAAGAATGTTGAACCATTTTTGTTAACTTTATATGTAGCAACCAAAGAAAATGAATCTTACGCAGGTAATGTAATGTTATTATTAGCATAATATTTTGAAGACCTTAAAGTAAACAAATATCAAATTCAAAACATGGATATAATTTACTTTGGATACTTGTTTTTAGTTTCGAAAAATTGTCTATGGTAAAAGGTTTGAATTGAGAGCATGTTAATGATGCAATTTATTACCCTATTTTTATAAATTATTTTTTTTAATTACAGGTGCTGCATCTGTAGATACAATAGCAAAACAAGTAATCAATTGTGTTGGACCGAGTGGATCTAACAAGGAATATGTGTACAATTTAGCAAATGCTATGCGAGAAATAGCTCCCAATGTTGAAGATGAACATTTGTTTGCCCTTGAAGCAGCTTTGCAAAAACTAGATACGGATTTTAAATCAATTTAGTTTAATATATAAATTATACACATTAAAAGTATTGAAAACTTGTAGTCTAGTTTATTATTTAGTAACTTTTCCCATGAACACGGCGGAATTGAAAAGAAACTCAGCACTCTGTTATCTTCCTAACTCTATATTTCTACTAAGCACATAGATCTGTTAAGGCGTTAAGCAGGCAGTATAGTAGCAAATATCCATCCATTCAAACATTCGCATTTTTACGATGATAGAACAATAAAGACAATCTTACATACAAAACACTTGTTACAACAAAATTACATTGGATATTGCTTTTAGTGAGTTTTGGACTGTACATGACATACTCTGGGTAGTTTTTCTCTCAATAAAAAAATAAGAATCTTAAATAGTTTCGCAGCGAAAATATTCCATCTAGTTTTACAATTAAGGTACAAATTGAAATGAAAAGCATGACTTGGTTTCGTTAATGCCGTTAATATCCAAAAGATGGCACTGTTCTAAAGTTGAAACGACTACAATGATAAACATCAGTACAATTTGCATGAAATAAGTTAGTGTTTTTAATAATTTAATCTTGAAATTACTGTCTTTTTAGTTTTGAATGCATTTATTTAAATATGGCTCTCACAATGCGGGAAATTCCGTAAGGTCATAAGACACGGTTGAAACAATTCGCATTGCAAAATAATTTAATTATTAAAAAAAATTAAGTTTGAGTAAGAGAATTTAAAATTTTATGAAATGTTACTGAACAATTATTATTACTTTTTAATTTCTTACCTACTTTATCGGTTTATCTACAAAAGGGGCGCCCCCATATAGCAGCCATTATTTAAGGTTTCCGATGTTCCTTCCTTCCCTATGTGACGTTGCTAATCCAAGTCATATAATTAACCTATTACGCTGAACTTACTTATTATATTAAAATTACTAAATATAAAAATCCATGCGTCATTAATGATTAAAAAACAACGCACTGTTTATATTTATCTGGGAATTGAACTCAGACTCAAGTCGTTAAAAATTGCTTTAAACTTTTAAGCTATCGGCGTCTTCAGTTATAATAATTTTGTAATAACAATTCATGTTTAATTAACCACAAGACTTAATCATAATATTTTGTTTCGTGTAATACAATGAAAAGACTATTCTTTATCAAAACATTTAATAAGCAAAAGACTCTTTAAATATACTCCTTGGGAATATTACAAGAGAAATAAAAATTATTTAGCGCACGTATAATACTATAAAAACAATATTTACAAATATAATTTATACAAAGTGTAAAAACACAACACATTTACAGGAAAATTCCAAACCGAACAATTGATAAATTAATGCAGTTAATAAATACCTAGATTAATATTAAAATAAGACTTTAAAATGTTTTATTTCATTGGAATTAGAGTTTTGTAGATAGGGCGTGTCACATGGCACACAAATTATCAGTTACTGATAACCCACCCGTTGCATTTAGATAAAATAAAAAAAGACGTTCAACCTTCGTATTTTGTCGCACTGAAAAACTTCTACCAATATCAACAGTTGAATAATTTTGTATATTTATTCTAATTTGGAAAGATTACACAGTCATTTCTTCGCAACAGAGTAATCTTGATTTAATCTTTGGCAGGTTTATTTTACTGCAATGCTACTTTGCAATATCGATTTTGTATCTTTGATTATCTTATCATTTCTCCTTATTACGACCTAGAAGCTTGTCTAAGAAACTTCTCTTTCTTTTGACTTTTTTACCTTTAGTTGTTTTCTGTTCTAGATTGTCGCCTTCCACCGATATTTTCTCTATTAATTTCGGTATTGTCAGGTCATTGTTCGGTGTTTGTTTCTTATGACTTTCTCTACTTATCTGACGCTGCAGTGGAGGCAATTCTGGTACTCTATCATTCTTCTCTTCCAACTCACTTAAAGAGGTTTTTGATTCATTATTATTTTCTAACTGATTTTTGATCAGTGTATCCTTAAATACCTCGTTCGCTTCGAGTATCACTTCAGGACCATTTTGTATTACTTTAGTATTATTCTCCTGTACATCGTTAGGTTCTTTTTTGTTATCTTCTTTCTCCGAATCGACCTTTTTGTTTTCAAATACATCATCATTTTCCGCACCGTTCACTTTGTCATCTTTGTCTTGGGTTTTTTTGTCGTCACTGTCGACGCTATCGGTTCCGCTCGAAATTGATTTGGGCACCGAGGCCACTACTCTCGGCCGAGTCGGCGGTATCGACCAGTCGATAGGCTTACGCTGAGGAGAGTACCGTTTCACTAGTTCTTCGAAAAGTTTTTGATGATCAACCTTTGATGACACTCCGTGGTCCGGCAAGCTCTGATGCCTCGTTTTCGCCTCAGGGTCCTCGTTTTCTTTACCGTTGACTTCAGGCGATCCCAAATCAACCACCACTCTACGTACCGGAGTCGGCGTAGAGTAAGGCTCCGCAAAAGGAAACTTAAACAAATTAGGGCTTTCGATTTTATATTTCACCACAGTAGAACTTTTAGTCGGCATCGAAGCGCGGACACCGGCTCGCTGGAACTGCGGGCTCTCGGAGGGATCGTGCAAATTGGAATTTAAGAAGTCTCTTCTGAGTTTTGACAGGCGTCTAGTCCTCTCAGTCATGCTAGTCCTGTAGTCGACATCGTCGCTCTGGTTGAGCTCGGAAGTGAAGTTGTCGGAGTATTTTCGTGTCCGGAACTCAAAATGATTCCGGTCCTCGCTTCTCGATTCACGCATGCTGGAGTATGCGGGCGCGTTGCGTTTAAAGTTGGCGGTTGTTTTGCCGTGATTGGAGGTGACGATGGGGTCGACCTGCCGATAGACGGGCGGGGGGCTGGCGGGCGCGGGAAGCGGCACGAACGCGCCCTCCTGCTTGTCGAACACTTCACGCCGCTGACTGAACTGCTCCACGCCGATCACTTCCCGCGACCGCACGCTGCCCGTAGGCGATTTGGCCGCCATTTCCGTTCGATTACAAACCACAATTCTTTTGTTATTGATACTATTTTCCTGCTAACCACTGTATTTCTATTTCGGTCCGATACACATTATGACTTCACCGGTAACATCGCGCCTATAAAGCGTACACGTCTACACTGTAAATTGGACAATAAAGGTGGTCCGGTCGGCGGTGCGGGGCGCGCCGGTCGCGATATAATGATGAGTGATCAATAGAGTGGTTCCGATAAGATAGGTGCGCGCGGTGCTCGGCCTTTTCTTTATCTTGGAGCATTGGAGTCGCGCAAACGGTGCGCGAACACAACACAATCGTACCCGCAATTGCCCGCGGACCGAGTGAAAGCGAATGCGCGCGCGCCGCCGCCGCCGCCACCGCCGCCGCTGCCGACGCCGCGCCGATCGCCTGCGCTCATTATATAATGAATATTAAAACAAACGTCCCAAATACGATACGCTACACAGACTTTGCACTTAATTGACAATCTTTAGAATATTAAATAGACGATTACCGAGTTTCATTTCGACATTTTTAATAACATATTCACTAATGAGTAGTGATTGTAAAAGAATCTAATTAAAGCAAGCCAATTTGCTTATTTTAATGATGTTTATTTATGAAAAAATAACACGATAGAAATAAAATAATTAACTTGTGTTTAAACAAATTTTAATGAGGAATGTAACAAGTTGAAAATTAACTAAAAAAATCTGGAATAAGAGCAACGTTTGAAAGTAATATAACAAAAATATATGGCAATATTGTAGATATGAATGGAGGGAGTTTGTTATCGTAAATCCGTAAGGAACATGTGTTGTAGTTCATGTCTATTTGTGTTACTCGGAATATTCTTTTTGTAGCGCTGTGAAAATTACTCACGCCTAGCTCGATTTTCACCTTATTCTATTTAGAGTTAAGTAGGTAGCTATCATAAGTGATCGTTAAAAATAGTAACGAGGTAAACCGCTTGCACTGTTACGGTAATTTTTAACTGAACCGATGTTGTAGTTTTTAGGTTAACCATTTTATAGCGCTCTATGTTGTAGCAATATTCGCAATTAAATAAATCAAAATATACGGAATTAATTAAAGTTCTTGTATTTGTCACCTCGACAATTGCTATCTTGTTTACAAAAGACTCAAAACATAATAGATAACGATTCGATTATGTCCAAGCTGTTAATTATTTTAAAACAAAAATTATAAACCTCTCTAATTTTCGCTATTTTAGGAGGTGATTCTACACTACTCGGCGACTACTAGAAGTTTTTACCTTTTACCTTCATCGTTCTAATTGTACAATTAGTAGAGACAGAATTTTTAATTCGTTCAGTTGGCATTGAACACTATGCTTTTAATGCAATTTCCTGCATCGTTCTAATCGCCTTGTGAAATAAACGGTTATAAATAACATTGCTGTTTCCGGAATAATACAATTAGATTAAGAAATTCACGTAGGCAGGTATTCGTACTGTGTATTATAAAAATTCTACTAAATCTATGTCTATACTATCTATACTATTATAATAAAGCGTAAACACACACTTCTTTGTTACCTAAGATGTCAGCAAATACAGCATATTTTTGATTAATTCTTCTTTTAATAAAAAGCCCTACACTTACGTCATGCTTTAGGCGATATATTTACACGCCATTAAACTTAGGGGGTAAAATTTTTGGATAAAAACCCTAATGTGGGAAAGAGACCATAAGTTGCTGCCAACATCAAGAAAGCAAGATTGCTAAGGTTTGTCATGTCATGTCATTTTGACATTTGCTATTGGTAATTTGACAAATGTAAACAATAAAATGAGATTTTAAAAATTCCATGCGGACAAAGCCGCACGGAAACAGCTAGTTATTAATAGTATTGATGGCACTTGAACTAAACTTCCTTATGTTGTGAAGACAAACATCTTTACGTAGAAAGTTGATTCTTTGGTAAGGCCCTTAGAATTCGGTATGAAAAATTAACACTTAGGGACCTCTATTGTACCATTAAACGTCTCTGAGTGTCAGATAGAACTAGTTAATTTGATTTAATATGCAACTTTTCTCGTTAGGCCGATTTTTTATTATTATTTTATATTTCTACGATTTAT